GGCGGTACCTTTCTCTGAAGGGAGGAGAGAACCTCCACTTTGACTATGACCTTGTCTAAACAAGATAAGAATCGGAGAACTCAGAGGGCTTCCATAGCCTTGGAAACTCATGACTGGAGCATAGGGAGATTACTGATGCCATAGATAGGAGTGTCAATTGGTAAAGTCAACAACAGGAGTCACTGTGCACTTACTCCTCATGTAGGATCTCTGTCCTTAATGTGCTGTGCATTGAGATTTAATGCTATAACGAGTACTCAAACAATATATTTCACCTTGTGTTTCTATGGGGGTGCAAACTGTTGAAATCTTTACTTAATGCATACTAAACTGATCTTCTGTTAAAAAAAAAATTATCAATTCCCAACTTGACTCTCACTGGGATTAAACATGACAATAGGTCTGATCTGATTTCATCATCATTTAAAAAAATCATCTATTATTTTTCACTTTATGTTTCTGTGTGGGAGCAAACTGTTGAAATCCTTACTTAACGTATACTAAGCTGATCTTCTGTATATTAAGATAATTGAAAATGAATCTTGATGTGAATGGAAGGGGAGAGGAAGTGGGAAAGGGGATGGTTGTGGGTGGGAGGGATGGTATGGGGGTGAAGCCATTGTAATCCATAAGTCGTACTTTGGAAATTTATATTCATTAAATAAAAGTTAAAAAAAAATCAACAACAGGAGACAATGCACTTACTCTCCATGTAGGATCTCTGTCCTTAATGTGTTGTACAATGTGAATTAATGGTGTAAGTAGTACTCAAATAGTACTTTATACTTTGTGTGTCTGTGTGGGTGCAAACTGTTGAAATCTTTACTTAATATATACTAAATTGATCTTCTGTATATAAAGATAATTAAAAATGAATCTTGATGTGAATGGGATGGGAGAGGGAGTGGGAGATGGGATGGTTGAGGGTGGGAGGGAGGTTATGAGGGGAAAAAGTATAATCCAAAAGTTGTACTTTGGAAATTTATATTTATTAAATAAAAGTTTTAAAAAAGTAAAAAAAAAAAATTTGACCTCGGTTTCTCTTCCAAGCTTCTTAGTCTCATCCATTTGCCTGTTGAGCATTTCTACCTGGATGACACAAAGGCACCCAAAATCTGACACATTCCAAATGTATAATTTCTCCCTGCTCTTTCACCTGCCCCAAATGCACTCCCCCTATCTTGCCCCTTCTGTTTACAGGGGCTTGGAGGCAAGATAGACCTGGCTGGGGCCAGCACTGTGAGGTAAAGCCATCGCCTGCAGTGCCAGTATCTCATATGGGTGCTGGTTTGAGGCCCAGCTGCTCCACTTCCCATCCAGCTCTCTGCTATGGCCTGGGAAAGCAGTAGAAGATGGCCCAAGTCCTTGGGCCCCTGCACCCGCATGGGAGACCCAGAAGAAGCTCCTGGCTCCTGGCTTCGGATCCACCCAGCTCCAGCTGTTGCAGCCATCTGGGGAGTGAACCAGCAGATGGAAGACCTCTCTCTCTCTCTTTCTCTCTGCCTCTCTGTAACTCTGCCTTTCAAATAAATAAATTAATTTAAAAAAAAAAAAGAACAAATGAGGGAAGGCATATGAAGCACTTGGAGCAGTGCTTGACATTAGTAAGTGTTCAATGAATAGAAGTGATTATTTGTTATTTTTATTTAGTAGTAAACTACCAAATCCTATAAATTCTACACCCTCAATGTCTTCCAAATCTTCCAGCTCTCTCCATCCATCCTACCACCAACTCTGTCGCAATACTCTACTCCACATGGAGACACTGTATGTACAGCTAAGGCACACCCTTGACCTATAACCTACTTGCAGTGTACTAAATTACCCTTTTTATTATCTTTATCAAAATAAAAAAAAGTCCCATCCTGTTGGCTTATTTGCCTAGTTTTCTTTATTTCTTCTTACATAAATAAAACTCCCTGATGGGGGCTGGCGTTGTGGTACAGCGAGTTATGCCACCACCTCCAATAACAGCATCCCTAGCTGCTCCAATTCCAATCAAGCGCCTTGTAAAGGTACCTGGGAAGTCAGTAGAAGAAAGTCCAAGTACTTGGGCCCCTGGACCCATGTGAGAGACCCTTATGGGGTTTCAGGATCCCACCTATGGCCTAGCCCAGCCCTGGCCATTGCAGCTATTTGGGGAGTAAACCAGTGAAAGAAAGGTCTATCTCTTCCTCAATCTCTCTCTCTCTCTCTCTCTCTCTCTCTCTCTCTCTCTCCCTCCCTCTCTCCCTCTCTCCCTCTCTCCCTCTCTCCCTCTCTGTAACTCTCCCTTTCAAATAAATCAATCTTTAAAAATAAACAAATAGGGGCCGGTGTTATGGCTCACTTGGCTAGTCCTCCACCTGCAGCGCTGACATCCCATATGGGCACTGGTTGTTCCTCTTCCAGGCCAGCTCTCTGCTGTGGCCAGGGAGTGCAGTGGAGGATGGCCCAAGTGCTTGGGCCCTGCACCCCATGGGAGACCAGGAAGAAGCACCTGGCTCCTGGCTTTGGATCGGCACGGCGCTGGCTGTAGAGGCCACTTGGGGAGTGAACCAACAGAAGGAAGACCTTTCTCTCTGTCTCTCTCTCTCACTGTCTAACTCTGTCAAATAAAAATAAATAAATAAATAAATAAAAATAAACAAATAGGGGCCAGCACTGTGACAAAGCAGTAAAGCCTCCAGTTGAAGAGCCAGCATCCCATATGGGTACCGGTTCGAGTCCTGGCACTCAAGTGGCTGCTCCACTTCTGATCCAGCTCCCTGCTAATGTGCCTGGGAAACCAGCAGAGGATGGCCCAGGTCCCTGGGCTCCTCCTTTTCCAGATCAAACTGCTTTCTTCTCCTTCTCAAGGGCTTGAGTTAATAATCTATTCCTCCAAGGAGACTCTGCTGACACACAGCTCCCAGTCTGGCTAAGGTGGCTCCCTGGGTATTCTCAAACATGGTACTTCCCCCAACATAGATACCTGTTTGTCTTTTGTCCCACTAGATGATAAATTCCTGAGGACAGACATCTTTTTAGTCTGTTCACTTTTGTTTCTACACTTCCTAGTCAGTGTGGTTCAGAAACTTTTTTTTTAAAGATATATTTATTTATTTGAAAGACAGAGTTACAGAAAGGCAGAGGCAGAGAGAGAGAGAGGTCTTCCATCTGCTGGTTCACTCCCCAGATGGCCACAACGGCCAGAGCTGAGCCAATCTGAAGCCAGGAGTCTGGAGCTTTTTCCAGGTCTCCCTTGAGGGTGCAGAAGCCCAAGGACTTGGACCATTTCCACTGCTTTCCCAGGCCATAGCACAGAGAACTGGATGGGAAGTGGAGCAGCTGGGAGTCGAACTGGTGCCAATATAGGATGCTGGCACGGCAGGCAGCGGCTTTTTATCGGCTGCGCCACAGCTCCACTCCTCAGAAGCTTTTGAGAACCTACTAAAAGCTATGAAGCTTTTTCACAGAAAAAAAAAAAAAAACTTGAGCATATACTGTCTTGTACTCAGTTTTCAAGGAGTCCACAAAGCACATTCATGGGTCTCCCAGGATCTCCATACACTGCAAAGTCAGAACCTTTGTGTGAAAGAATGCTTGACTTATACTATTAGGAATGTTATTTGCCTATTTATGTGAACAAAGGCTTCTCTCTCACTCCCATTTAAATATTTTGGGAGTAATACTGTAAAGTCACCCACTTCAACCTTAGCGTGAATGAGCACACAGACAGGAATGCAGACCGCTTCCAAGACTTGAAGGGACTAAGCCTCCAGGACCAGAAAGGGCAGTGATATCGCCCTGGACATCAGCGTGGACAGACACGTCAAGCATGGTGAGCGCAGAGTCCTGTGCTGCTTCCTCATGACTCACTGGGTCTGTGTAAGCCCCCAAGGAAAGGCGTGGGGAATCTCAGAATCAACCCAAGACTTAACAAAAAGGGAGCAAAGAAACGAAACGCCAAAACAAAAATGGACAGAAAAGCAAGCCAAGTGAAAAATGTCTTGCACCCTTGCGAAAGGAGATTCGCCTGAACCACAATTGAAAAGCCAGCGTCTGCCCCATCTCAGCTTGGATTTTCAGAGCCAGCCACTTTGTACTCATGGTACCCTAAGTTTCAGCCACTGTCTACGTATGTACAAATATATGTAGTGCACGCCTCCACGCCCTCTGCTTCACACACAGGGGCTCATCCTGTAGACGCTATTCTGCGCCAGGGTATCCTGGAGACTTCGCTGTTGTAACACAGCCTCGCTCTTTCAGGGGTGGTCTCAGTGCGGCGTACAGAAGCACTCCCGGAGCGAGGTCATTACACACCCTCCTTGCAGTGAGCGCACAGGACAAGGAAGTACGACACGCGTTCCCACTTGGTCTCTCTTCCTCCCTCCTCCTGCTGTGTCCCTCAGTGCCCTGTCCCTCCCTTTCCCTCGCCCTTCTGCTCTCTCGCTTTCCCTTTCACGCACCGCACCCCGACGCCGGCTGCAGCCACGAACCCGAGCCTCCGGCCCTTCTAGACCCTCGCTTACCGCCCAGCTCTCAGCCTCAGAGCCCAGCGCTCTGCATCGGGCGCCGGGCACGCTCTACCTGCGCTCGCACCCTGCCCAGAGCGACTGGGCGCTGGAGACGCTGGGTGCCCGGCGTGGGGCGTCTCGGCGCTCCGCAGCAGGAAGCAAAATCCCGGCTGCGGGTTCTGCTTGCGCGAAGGGCGGCTGCGGGAGGAGGAGCCGGCGGGAATGGGAGGAGCCCGCGGGCCGGGCGGGGCGCTGCTGGGCAGAAGTCCGGCCCGCTGCGCCCGTCTGAAGCCTTTCCCGGGCCCTGAACTGAGTTTGCGGCTGCTGTTGCTTCATTTTTCCCTCGCTGGTCCTCACTTCTCCTGAGAGAGAAGCCTTAGGGTTCCCTCTCTACCAAATGCGAGTTTCTTTCCTTTCTTTTATACCTTCAAACACCATTTCTGGAAAAAAAAAAAAGTATTTGTGATGTTCCCTGCCTCTCTGATACTTTTTTCCACATACCACAGATGATTGGCTTCTAGATTCTTTTTTTTTTTTTTTTTTTTTTTTTTTTTTTTTTTTTTTTTTTTTTTTTTTTGGCTTCTAGATTCTTAATTCGGGAATACAGACTTGAAATGGAAAGTCCAAAGCAATGGGCTGTCACCAGGTGTAGACGGCAAATAGTTCAAGCAGGGTGAACTGGGCTCATGTCCCTCCCCTCCTCCAGTCTCCGGGGGATGACAGGAGAGATCTGTGGACTGCCAGTTACCTGTGTGGAGCCATCCTGAATGGCTCACACGGAGCTGTCCCTGAGAATGGAACCGTATTTAGCAGACAAGTGACACTTAGAATGATAATGCTGGTTCCCTTCTTACCCACACAGAACTGTGAGCGTGCTTCTTGGTGAGTCTAATCAAGAAACACACCAAAAGGCATTGTCACACAAAGCCATTTATTTGCGGCAAACAAAAAGACCTTAGGGAACCATTTCCAAAGCTGTAGTTTCCAGAGCAAGGGGGAATGACTATCTCTTATTTTAGGGAGAAATGAACATACAAGAGGGGGAATTCTCATCACCACCTGTGTGGTGGAAGCTCAGAAACATGCCCCAGCAAACGTCACATATTACAGTAATAAGGCCAGCTCCCCCTAGAGTGAAGCTCTTACTGTTAGAAGGAGGCAGAGGTGACCTTTGGAGAGCTGCTGACCCATCTGCCCCGGGTGGTGGCTGCTGATTTCATCTCTCCCCTGAATGCGACTGAAGACCTGAAATACAGCTTTGTTAAAATCAGTGCTTCAGGTCTCCAAGGAGTAGAAATAAATCACAACTAAGACTTTTGGGCTGCTCAGGGCGATGGCCAGTGACACCATGTCATGAAGAAGAGAGCTGAACAGATAGTAGCAGGGGAACTATGAGTCGCTCATGTGAAACTCACTAGCCGTCTTCTAGAAACTATCACTGCTTTCCGCAGGGACGAAGGTTTGAGTCTCAGGTAGCTGAGCTTCAACTCACAACTGGGGCATCCTGGCTTCTCTACTAAGTGAACCAGACCCCACCTTCCTTCCTTAGACGTCTCCATGATCACCCACCCCAACAGTCCCCACACTTCCTGCAGCAGATGGCGTGTTCATTCATGTACCCAGCAAAATCTGGATACTGAAACCCTAATCCCAACGTGATGGTATTTGTAAGTGGGGTCTTTGGGAGATAAAACGAGGGCATGAGGGTGGAGCCCTCATGAATGGGATCAGTGGTTTTACAGGGAGAGGCCAGAAAGCTAATTCACTCTGCCGTGTAAGAACACAATGAAAAGTCAGTCTGCAACAGGAAAGAGGGCCCTCACCAGAATCAGATCACACTGGCACCCTGATCTTGGACTTCCAGGTTCCAGAACTCTGAGAAATAAACGTTTGTTGTTTAAACCACTGTCTGTGGTAATTTGCATGGCAACCTAAACTAAGAAACCCCTTTTTAGTAGCAAATATTTTTATGCTGTTTATTATCCTAAAACACAATACATAAATTATGTAACTTACCTCAACACACATAATTTTAAAAATTAATAAAATGTCTTAAAGAGATCTAAAGGAATAGTAGTAGAGGAAGGTGACTTATTATTAAATGTCATGTGTTTATATATATAACTTCTTGGTCATAACATTCAAGAAGACACAATGTGGTATGCAGATGCTTGGTGCACATATCTCTATATAGAATCAGGCTGAGTATAATAACTATGGATATGGACGCAGAGTGATACAGGCATTTTATAATGGTGATTCAAAAACCTTAACAGATTTTCCAAATGACTGAATAACTTTTGGCAGATTTTCAACCAAAACAATGTATGACTATTCCTTATGCACACGCATAAAATGCTGTGTGTTCATATTGTTCCATGATTTTCAGGATACTTGCATTCCCAGAAAGTTCAATGTACATTAAAACTATGCATAAAATGCTTTGCGTTCATATTTTAAATGAAGTTAGAACCATGGGTTTCTTGTTTTGTTTTGCTTTTTTAAGATTTATTTGAGTTATTATTTTTTTTTTGACAGGCAGAGTGGACAGTGAGAGAGAGAGAGACAAAGAGAAAGGTCTTCCTTTGCCTTTGGTTCACCCTCCAATGGCCGCCACGGCCGGCACACTGCGGCCGGCGCACCGCGCTGATCCGAAGGCAGGAGCCAGGTGCTTCTCCTGGTCTCCCATGTGGGTGCAGGACCCAAGCACTTGGTCCATCCTCCACTGCACTTCCGGGCCACAGCAGAGAGATGGACTGGAAGAGGACCAACCGGGACAGAATCCGGTGCCCCGACTGGGACTAGAACCCAGTGTGCCAGCACCGCAGGCGGAGGATTAGCCTATTGAGCCACGGTGCCAGCCTATTTATTATTTGAGAGGTAGAGTTACAGAGAGAGAGAGAGAGAGAGAGAAAGGTCTTCCATCTACTAGTTCACTCCCAAATGGCTGCAACAACCAGGGCTGAGCCAGGCCAAAGCCAAAAGCATCACATGGATCTCCCATGTGGGTTGCAGGGGTCCAAACACTTGGGCCATCTTCCACTGCTGGGAGTGGAGCAGTTAGGAGATGAATGGGGGCCCATGTGGGATGCCAGAGTCATAGGCAGCAGCTTTAAACACTATGCCATGATGTCAGCCCCACAGTGGTTTTCCCATGACTAAGTCGTTCAACATTGGAGATGCAGGAATGCTCTCATCAGGTGAGAGTGCTTTGCACAGTTGTTGAATGTATAACAATCTTGGACCCTATTCATCAAATGCCTCAAATAGTCCTAATCATTGTGAAGATCAAGATAGTTTTAAAAGCCTCCACAAATTTTCAAAACACCCCCTAGAGGGCAGTACCACCCTCATTAGAAACCACCGCTGGCCGTCTAGGCTCGGTATGGAAACAGGAGTCCTGGGAAACCTGAGAAAAATGTGCAAGGTGATTGCAGGGGGAGCATATTGAGAAAGATGCGAGGAGAGGAAGGCGTTCACATAGGAACTTCTTCTGGAAGGTCAGATCCTCCTCACCTTGGAATAGTCCTTCGATAATTGTCCCACCTTGTGGGCCTCCGGCTCTGTGGTTCACTTAGGAACTACTTGCCCCAACAGTGAAGGAACAGCATTTGCAAGCAGCTCCATCATTATGCAATAAGTATGTATTGATCAACAAGAAATGTGACATTAGGCGATTATGTCACCGTATGAACATCCATACTTACCCAAACTAAGATGGTTACATCATTAGACAACATAGCCTTAGGGAACCACCACCCTGCACGCAGACCAGCACTGACTGCAGCGTGATACAGCCCATGACTCTGACCTGAAGAGACTGGTGACACAGGAAACAGGCCAACTTGTGGTGGTTTCCCCATTGATTATGAGGATCTAGAGTTTATTTTCTCATTAGTTCCATCGGGAAAGAGCTTTAAGACCAGCAAGGCCAGCACATTGGAACAACTTATAAATCTTTTAAAACTTCCAAAGCCCAGGCCATACTGCAGACCAATTAAATCATAATCACCAGGGTAGGACCCAGGAATCTAGTTTTTGAAACCTCCCAGGTTCTATGAACTGAATGTATTCCCCAAAATTCATATGTTGAAACTTAGTGGAGGGGCCGGTGCTGTGGTGTAGCAGGTAAAGCCGCAGCCTGCAGTGCCAGCATCTCATCTGGATGCTGGTTCAAGTCACAGCTGCTCTACTTCCAATCCAGCACTCTGCTATGGCCTGGGAAAGCAGTAGAAGATGGCCCAAGTCCTTGGGCCCTTGCACCTGCTTGGGAGACCCAGAAGAAACTCCTGGCTCCTGGCTTCAGATCAGCGCAGCTCCGGCCATTGAGGCCGTATGGAGAGTGAACCCTTGAATGGAAGACTTCTCTCTCTCTCAGCCTCTCCTTCTCTGTGTGTGTGTAACTCTGACTTTCAAATAAATAAATAAATCTTTCTTTAAAAAAAAAAAAAAAAGGAAAGAAAGAAACTTGGTGGAGATGTGGCATACTAAGAGATGGAGTCTTTGGATGGTGATTAAATCATGCGGGCTGAGCCTTTCTAAATGGAAATAAAAGTGTTGGAGGAAATAAGCAAGGCCCCCATTTTTGCCCTTCTGTCTTCCATAATGTGAAAATGCAGGGAGAAATTTCTTACCAGATGTCAAATGCCAGAGCCTTGATCTTGCACTTCTCCAGAAGTGTGAGAAATACATTTCTATTACTTATAAAGTATGCTATCTCAGGTATTTTATTATAGCAGCACAAACTAAGACACCATGTGATACTAATGTGTCCCAGCTGCTCCTCTTCCAATCCAGCTCTCTGCTGTGGCCTGGGAAAGCAGTGGAAGATGGCCCACGTGCTTGGGCCCCTGCACCCGTGTAGGAAACCTGGAAGAAGCTCCTGGCTCCTGGCTTCGGATCGGCACAGCTCCAGCCATCTGGGGAGTGAACCAGCAGATGGAAGACCTCTCTGTCTCTCTCCCTCTCTCTCTCTCTCTGCCTCTCCTACTCTCTCTGTGTAACTCTTTCAAGTAAATAAATAAATCTTAAAAAAAAAAAAAGAAAGAAATCACAGACCAAATGCATGGTTTTTTGAGTCTGAGGGCTGAGAAGGGAGAAGACTTGAGCTTCCTGTAATCTGGCGATTGGCTTCTGCTGCTTTCAGAAGCCCAGAAGGGCTCCTCTGAGGCGCCAGTATACCAAGGAGTGAGAACTCTTTCGTATAACACAACCCACGTGACGCTTTAAAGTTGGCAGTGATTCTAGTAAACAGAAACATACTGTGAATCTAAAGGTAATTATTCTCAAAATCAGGTAAAAACCAGCGGCCTTTCTGTTTCCCACCAGCTCACTCCCCTCCCAGCTTCTTATCAGAGGCCTGCCCTTCCCACTTCAAAGCCCATCTCCTCCAGGAAGCGGCCTCAGATCCCTCCCTCCACCCACATCACTGGCACTTTGCTCCTTAGTCTAATATAGCACTTCTCATGATTTGCCTTGTATTTTTGTGATTTCTGCGTGTGTCTTTCTCCACGATGGTGAAAGAAACATTATATACACTGGAGGAAGAAGCCTTATATACACTTTACACAGGTACTAGCACTATCCTACTATCAAGTAGTTGTGTCCCTGAAACCTCAACGGGAGACCCAGATTGAGTTTCTAACTCCTGGCTTTGCCTGGCCTAGCCCCAGCTGTTAGAAGCATTTGGAGGGTGAACTAACAACAGATAGGGCCTTGTTCTCTTTCTATCTCTATGCGTGCATTTGTCTGCCTTTCAAACAAATAAATAAATAAAATCAAAATTTTTTAATTCACCAATAAAGAAGGTTGATAGAGGATTGTGCTTTCTCTCCCAATTCCACTTTCTTTCTGGGGTTGAAACACTGTGCTGAATCTCACTCCACTTGGGTAGGGCTCCAATCTGCTACCTTCCAATATCATCCTTTCTCACTGAAGAACGAACCATTGATTGGGAACCCTGCTTCAAATCAGACATACTCTTCTCTCCTAACCCCACTATTCCACTCTGAATTTTAACACAAAATAATGCAAGCTGGATTCTTCTGCAACTGATTACCCTCATCCACATATATTTGGTCCCTTAGCTATCAGCTCCATTTCAGATAGGGCCCCCACTCCCACCCAGGACACTATAATTTGCCAGCCCCTAGGAATAGAGAAATAAAAGGCTGTCAATCCAGAAGAATGTCCTATCTCTGGAGCCAAGGGAAGAAACATTTTTAGGGTTAAGAGACAGTTTTCAAATCAGTCAATTCCGGCAGAAAGATGGAATAGAATGAGGTGGTCATCAGCAGTAGAGTTAATAAGAAGGCTGTGACGACAAAGGAGGGAGGGTGATCTCAGCAGGCAGCAGAGACAGAAGTCAAAGGCCAGGGGATTTTACCTTGAATGTTCTTTATGGTACAGAAACTCAGACATGAAGGATTTCATCTCTGTGGAAGCTTTATTTGAGCCTGTCTTTAGGTACAAACCACAAAGAAAACACCTATTCAATCCTTATAGTTTCTCATCTCTTCCGATTTCCTCCATCCCTTTCTTCTTCAGTCTTCCCTGTCCTATCTCGTCTTACTGAGCCTCATCATTTTTAATTACATGCTTAGTCTAACTTAAACAGAAATATAAAAACCTTAGTAAAATGATGGATGCAATTAGAGATCATTATGTTTAGTGAAATAAGCCAGTCCCCCCAAAAAAAGTGTTTTCTCTGATTTGTGATAACTAATATATAGAGTACAAAAGAATGCAATTGACATCTTGAGATTTGATTACTGTTTACCTTGTCTATACTCCTGAGGAACAGTGGTCTTACTACTTGCTGAAGACTTTATTTAGTGGAAGATTAAGCTTGTGATTATAAAGTAAATTGAAAGCATGTCATCACAAAAAAGAAAAAGAAAAAGAAGAAAGGAAGAGGGAGGGTGGGAAGTATTACATTCTTAAAACTGTATATATAAAATACATGAAATCTGTTCCCTTTAAATAAATATAAAAGGAAAAACTGAAAGCTCAAAAGAATGAATAAACACAAATCCAGTACTTCAGCAGCCAGAATGAAGAAAGGGTCAAGGGAGCCTCCATCACCCCCTTAGGAGCATGGAAATGTTAGTAAACAACAGGAATAAAAATTCGACCTCTACAAAGCACTGGCACTTTGCCCCGAGCTTGCCAGGGAGCAGCAATGGAAATGCCGACAGGCGAGACGTAGGGAGTGGTGGGGTGGGAGCACCCCGTCTTCAGAAGGGCTCTGGAGAAGAGGGCAGGCCGGCAGCAGCAGCAGAGTTGTGTGAAGCCCTTTGCAATGCTGCCTTCCCTTTTGCCAGGGAGAAACAGCACAGCATAGCCCCACGTACATCTTTCTTTCTGTCTGGAATGCATGCCTCCTCCTCTGATGCTGAATTTCTGAGCAGCCTTCAAAATCCAGTTCAACAACCCTTGTCTTGACTGTGGAGGAACAGGGTTTTTTGTTTTTTTTGTTTGTTTGTTTTTTCTTTGTTGTTGTTGTTGTTTGTTTGTATGTTTTTTCCTTAATGGAGAATGGGACTGGGAATGGGAGAAGGAGGAGGAGGTGAGGCTGGAGGGCCGGTATGGTGGGAAGAATCACTATATTTCTAAAGTTGTACTTATTAAATTTGTACTCATTAAATAAAAGGTTTCTTTTCAAAAAAATCCAATTCAAACTACACCCAATTGATGGTGCCTTCCCTAACAGAAGCCCACCCTGGGCAGAGTCCACAACTCTCCTCTGGTCTCTCATAGAACTTGTCCATACCTCTAAATTCACCACAAAACTTGTATTGGGGCTTGGGACAGGCATTTGGTGTCGGGATTGTTTGGGGGACTGGCACCGTGGGGTAGCTGGTAAAGCCGCCGCCTGCAGTGCTAGCCTGGTTCAAGTCCCGGCTGCTCCACTTCCGATCCACATGGGAGACCTGGAAAAAGCTCCTGGCTTCAGATCAGCCCGGGTCCGGCAGCTGCAGCCATTTAGGGAATGAACCAGTAGATGGATGACCCCTCCCCTCTCCTCTCCTCTCCTCTCTTCTCCTCTCCCCTCCCCTCCCCTCCCCTCCCCTCCCTGCCCAGGTCCGGCAGCTGCAGCCATTTAGGGAATGAACCAGTAGATGGATGACCCCTCTCCTCTCTCCTCTCCTCTCCCCTCCCCTCCCCTCCCCTCCCTGCCCAGGTCCGGCAGCTGCAGCCATTTAGGGAATGAACCAGTAGATGGATGACCCCTCTCCTCTCTCCTCTCCTCTCCTCTCCCCTCCCCTCCCCTCCCCTCCCCTCCCCTCTCCTCTCCTCTCCTCTCCTCTCCTCTCCTTCTGCCTCTCTGTAACTCTGCCTTTCAAATAAATAAATCTTTTTAAAAAAAAAATCTAGAAGAAAAGAGTTAAAAATAACTGGGGGAGAGGAACTAAAAGGGGAAATGACTTCCGGGTCGTCTCTGCCTCTCGCGCTTCTCTCCACTCCCTCCTCTTACAACCTGGGACCTCATGCTGTAACTCCTCTCTGTTCACTCCTGATACCCGAGTTCTCCTGGAAGCAGGGAAGGAAAGAAGCCACCCCACGCCCTGAAACCTAACGTCACCCCTCTCCACGCGGGCACCTCCTCAGTCTGCCTCCCTGCCTTCCCCCTTCACACCACTCCCAGCTCATCGCCCTGGAGGGCCCATGAGGCATCTCAGGCTCCCTGTGCTGTCCAGCTCCTGGTGGGAATTTCTGCCTCAGACAGAAACCAAGCGGTGCCCCAGGGCAGCCTGTGGTCACTGGGCTGGGGAAACCCTAGAGCAGGCCTACAAAACTACCTGACAAGGAATACTGTCCAGAGGGAGGAGCATAGGTAGGAGCAGGTGCTGGGAACGAGAAGGGCTGAAAATTGAAGTCCTCCCTCCCACACTCCTCAAACTCACCCATGGACGGCCTTCCCGCCATTTCCTCCTTGACTCATGAGTCCAACTCATTTCTCCAACTGTCTTCTCATGGCTCCTACTCCTTGGCTCCTGGAGCTTCCTGACTCTCTTCCCTACCAGGTCCACTCTCCCCACCAAGAGTCCCTAGCCCCTACGTAGTCGCTCCTGGGCCTCCTCTCTTCACCCAGGTACGAGCTGTCTTCCCATCCTCAGGAGTTCTGCAACCACCTTTTCCTCAGTGGAGATCAAATGTACAAAAGCAATTTATGAGCTGTGAAGTCCTATGTGAGAATAAAATACTAAGGAGAACAAAGTCCTCTCTTTCTCCTCTCATAATCTCTGCCCTTCTCCTATGCTATTCCTTTCCCCTTCCTCCCACCCTCACACTGCTGCTCACCCTTCACCCAGCAGGTTTGGTTTGGTGCAGGGTGGGAGTCGAAGTCAGGTGCTGCACTGTGGGCAGAGTCAGGATGCAGGCAGGCATCTCGGCCCGAGGCCTCGGCAGAGTTCCCAGGCAGAGCCACCGGCCCAGCCCAGGGCAATAGGCATGGATAAGGTGGGAGAGGGCATAAGTACGGTGGCTGTAGCCCCCCAGCACCAGTAGCTCCCCTTGCAGCACAGCACCTGCAGCCCCGACGTGGGGAGAGGGCAGAGGTGTTAGGTGACTCCAGCTATCAGTCCTTGGCTCATAGACCTCAAAGCTCAGCAGGTCCCCAGCCTCTCCTAGTCCTCCTGCTACATACAAACGCCCACCCAGAGCAGCCATGACATGGGCGGCTCGAGGCACCCCCATAGGGCTCAGAAATGTTCCTGGATTCTCAAGTTTGGGGTCATAGTGCAGCAATGAGGCGAGGAATTGGCCATTCCCACTAGAGCCACCACTCAGATACAAGCGGCCCTCCAAAATGGCAGCTGCATGGGCAAAGCATGGTGCTGGAAGCGCAGGTGCTGGCCTAAGGAAGAACAGGACACAAGATCAGGCCACAGGTATCTTCAACTCTCCTCCCACTCTGAGTCTCCCGGTCTGCCCCGGGAGGGCCTCCTGCCCACTCACCTCCAGACATTGAGCTCAGGGTTATAGGTCTCCACGGAATTGAGGGCAGCACCATTGCATCGTCCTCCCAGGGCATAAAGTTGTCCATCCAGAGCCACCAGGGGGAAAAAGCTCCGGGCCTGGCACAAAGGTGCCACCTCCTCCCAGTCCTCTTGACTGGGGTCCCACCTAGACACAATGGGACAAGAGATGGAGAGAGTGACTCAAGGTGCAGGCAGGCAGCATGGGAGGTGGGAGGTAGGGGGTGGGGGGGTCTGCAGTTGGTTGAATCAGCAATTTCTCTGCCCTGTTCACCTGGGGCCCTGCCACACCCTACCCACTCTTAGGGGCCCATACCTGAGAGTTGAAGCCAGAGTGTTGGAGTGGCTGTAGAAATCCTGTCCCCCACACACATAGAGTTCACTTCCTTCTAGGCTTGCAGCTCCGTGCCTGAAGCGCCCTGGGGCAGGCAAGGCAGGCAGCTGCCCCCACTCCACAGTCCGTACCAGTCCCATGCCACAGCGGAAGGCCCGGGCCCACCACACTTTTTGAGATGGCTGACTTCGGGCCATGTCTGGTCTGATCCCGTCCCCGCCAATCACCACCAGTGCTTGATCAGGTTCCCTCCACCTCTGTTGACCTGGGACCTCAGCCTCCACCATGACCTGGTGCAGCAGGTCTGGGGGCAGAGGTGAGGGTAGCCCCGCTGCCCGCACCTTCCGAAGTTCCCTAGTCGACATGCGGCCAAAACGGACACACTGCAGCAGGGCCTTGGCGTCGGATTCTTCGGTCTCAGGGTTGGCAGCTAGCCAACACCGTGCAGCCACAAAGGCTTCAAACTCTTCCTGCACGTGGAGCTCATCGCTATCCAGGAGCTCAGCCAGGCAGGCAGCTGGCAAAGAAGGGAAAGTGGGGCACAACGCCACAGCAGGCAGGTGGGTGAGGAGGTACTGACGGGCTTTGCTCCAGAGCCGCTCCAGTCCAGGGGCTTCGGCCATGGGGTACAGGGCCAGGCAACGCGCAGGGCTGAGGCCTCGAGCCAAGGCTTTCTGACAGACGTCCAGGCAGGAAGAGCTCTGGTACTGCAGGGCAGCCTGTGCGGCTCTCAGCAGTCCTGGCCACCTTGCCCGCACAGCCCCAGAATAAGCAAAGGAGACGAGGAGTCGCAGGTCCTGCGAGGACATGGTGCGCAGAGACACCTCCGTGCCCTGGGATTCTCTCATCCCACTCAGGAGCATGGCCCCGAAGAACTCACTGCCACAGGCCAGGGCTGCTCGGTGCACTGCAGGAGGGGGAAGAAGCAGAGGAGGACCCAGAGCGCTTAGAGACTCCCAGGCACTACTCCAACCTGCCAACCCCAATTTTGGGCCACCCACCCAAGGCTACAGGCCAAACTGTGTTATGCATCAGGATACTGGGGGCACTTGTGACAATGCAGACAATGCAGGTTGCAGGGACCCACCACTAGAGATTCTGATTCAATAAGCCTGGATGAAGATCCCAGGAGTTTTTACTTCAATACTTTCAAGCACCCTGTCTGATTCTTGCATTAGTGGCCTGAAGTTGGAGTTTTGAGTCTAGGCCAATTAGAAAAAGTCTTGGAAATCAAACAGAAAGGATGATACAGACAGCAACTTATATAGGTCTCTCTCTATCGTGCATGGAATAAAGTTCTTTCCTTACAGCCACAAGAGCTGCTTCCACAGGCCATTCTCAGATTCTGCCAAGAAACAGGACAACTCAGCAATGGCTGTAACCCAACCTCATTTGCTGCCTAGTGTTCAGCATTTCAGATTGCCATGTGCTCTGTTGTCCTCTACACAGCATTTCCCCACCTTGGTACATAGTTCATGGGACTATGATAATTGAAACCTGAAAACCTGGGGCCAGCGCTGTGGCATAGTAGGTTAAGCCTCCACCTGAGGTGCCAGTATCCCATAAGGGAGCAAGTCCAGTCTGCTCCACTTCCAATCCAGCTCCCTGCTAATGCCCTGGGAAAGCGGTAGAAGATGGCCCAAGTCTTTGGGCCCCTGCACCTGTGTTGGAGACCAGGAAGAAGCTCCCAGCCCCTGGCTTCAGAGTGACCCAGCTCCAGCCTTTGCGGCATTTAGGGAGTGAACTAGAGGATGGAGGACTCCTCTCTGTCTCTCCCTCTCTCTGTAACTCTGCCTCTCAAATCAATCAATCAATCTTAAAAAGAAAAAGAAAGGAAGGAAGGAAGGGAGGAAGGAAGGAAGGAAGGAAGGAAGGAAGGAAGGAAGGAAGGAAGGAAGGAACCTGGAAACTTTAAAATCATCTAACTCAACTACTAATTGTAAAGACTCTGAGTTCTAGAGTAAGGATGTGAGTTATTTTCCTTTTCCGAGCAGTGGCTTTCTGGGCAGATCATTCCCCACTCTGTCACTGATGTCAGGCTTCGTGCACTGATGAGCACACTTGTGCACCAACACTGGCATGACCCTCATAACAATGAAACTGTCCTTTTAACAACACTGTCAAACAATCATAGCTCAGATGCCTCCTAAACCAACTCAACTGAGATACTCAACTTACCTATGGACTATTCTTTTCTTAAAAAAAAAAAAAGATTATATTTATTTATTTGAAAGTCAGAGTTACACAGAGAAGAGGTGGGGGCGGGGGGGGGGGTGTCTTCCACCCGATGGTTCATTCCCCAATTGGCCGCAATGGCTGGAGCTGCGCCAATCCGAAGCCATGAGCGAGGAGCTTCCTCCGGGTCTCCCAGGTGGGTACAGGGGCCCAAGGACTTGGGCTATCTTCCACTGCTTTCCCAGGCCACAGCAGAGAGCTAGATCGCAAGTGGAGCAGCTGGGACTCCAACCGGTGCCCATATGGAATGTCTGTAGGGGAGGGCAGGTGTCGCAGGGCAGCTGGTTAATCCACTGCCAGGAATGCCCACATTCCACATCAGAGCGCCTGGGATCGAGTTGCACCTCTGCTTCCGATCCAGCTTCCTGCTGGGAGGTAGCAGATGATGGCTCGAGTACTTGGGTTCCTGACGCCCAGGTGGGAGACCTGGATTGAGTTCCCTGTTCCTGGCTTCAGCCTGACCCAGCCCTTGCTGTTGCAGTTATCTGGGGAGTAAGCCAGCTGATGAAAGATGGAGCGTGCACTCTTTCTCTCTCTCCTTCTGTCTCTCTCTCTCTCTTGCTCTGCCTTTCAAATATATAAAAACAAATAAATTTAAATTATATGGACCAGTGTCTTAAAAAATATTTTGTGAAAAAATGGAGCTTCAAATGAGCTTATTTTGATGCAAAAAATGAAATAAATGCATAATTTTTATAGAAAGCATTTTTCACATATTATGAAAAAGCAACTTGCACCAAAATGAACTCATACTTTTAATTCCATTTTTCATAAACTTTTTGAAGCACTGTCATATTTAAATAAAATGTCATTCATTTATTTTACAACTATTAAAAAAATAGAGGTGAAACAAATATAGTAAAATATGTAGAAATAAATATGCAAGTCCAGCTGTTGAGTGGTTGAGGGTTCATCTTTTTTTTTTAATTTTATTGAGTTTTTAAAAAAAATTTTTTTTTGACAGGCAGAGTGGACAGTGAGAGAGACAGAGAGAAAGGTCTTCCTTTGCCATTGGTTCACCCTCCAATGGCCCCTATGGCCGGCGCGCTGCAGCCGGCGCACCGCGCTGATCCGAAGCCAGGAGCCAGGTGCTTCTCCTGGTCTCCCATGGGGTGCAGGGCCCAAGCACTTGGGCCATCCTCCACTGCACTCCCTGGCCACAGCAGAGAGCTGGCCTGGAAGAGGACTAACCGGGACAGAATCCGGTGCCCCGACCGGGACTAGAACCCGGGGTGCCGGCGCCACAGGCGGAGGATTAGTCTGTTGAGCCGCGGCGCCGGCCTCATCTTTTTTTTTTTTTTTTTTTTACATTTTTTTATTTTATTTTTGACAGGCAGAGTGGACAGTGAGAGAGACAGAGAGAAAGGTCTTCCTTTGCCGTTGGTTCACCCTCCAATGGCCGCCGCTGCAGCCGGCGCACCGCGCTGATCCGATGGCAGGAGCCAGGATCCAGGTGCTTTTCCTGGTCTCCCATGGGGTGCAGGGCCCAAGCACCTGGGCCATCCTCCACTGCACTCCCTGGCCATAGCAGAGAGCTGGCCTGGAAGAGGGGCAACCGGGACAGAATCCGGTGTGCCGGCGCCGCAAGGTGGAGGATTAGCCTATTGAGCCACGGCGCCGGCCATCTTTTTTTTTTTTTTAAAGATTGATTTATTTAGGGGCCTGCGCTGTTGTATGGTGGGTAAAAGCTGATGCCTGCAGTGCCAGTATCCCATATGGGCACCATTTCAAGTCCCAGCTGTTCCACTTCTGATCCAGCTCTCTGCTAAGGCCTGGGAAAGCAGTGGAAGATGGCCCAAGCATTTGGGCCCCTGCATTGCTCCTGGCTTCGGATTGGTGCAGCTCCAGCCACTGCAGCCAACTGGGGAGTGAACCAGCAGATGGAAGACCTCTCGCTCTCTCTCTCTCTCTCTCTCTCTCTCTCTCTCTCTGCTTCTCCCGCTCTCTCTATGTAACTCTGACTTTCAAATAAACAAATAAATCTTAAAAAAAAAAAAAAAAAAAAAAAAAAAAAAAGCTGGGGCCAGCACTGTGATGCAGCGGGTTAAAGCACTCGCCCAAAGCGCCGGAATTCCATAAGGTTTTAGTCTTGGCTGCTCCACTTCCAATTCAGCTCTCTGTTGTGGCCTGGGAAAGCAGTAGAAGATGGCCCAAGTCCATGGGCCCCTGCACCCACGTGGGAGACCCGGAAGAAGCTCCTGGCTCCTGGCTTCAGATCGGTGCAGCTCCGGCCATTGCAGTCATCTGGGGGAGTGACCAGCGGATGGAAGACCTCTCTCTCTGTCTCTACCTCTCTCTGTAACTCTTTCAAATAGATCTTAAAACAGAAAAAGAAAGAAAGAAAGAAAGAAAGAAAGAAAGAAAGAAAGAAAGAAAGAAAGAAAGAGCTTGAAAGAGTTAAACAGAGAAAAAGAGAGATCCTTCATCTGCTGGTTCACTCCCCAGTTGGCCGCAATGGCCAGTGCTGCGCAGTTCTGAAGCCAGGAGCAGGTGCAGGGGCCCAGGGACTTGGGCCATCTTCCACTGCTTTCCCAGGCTATAGCAGAGCGCTGGATCGGAAGAGGAGCAGCAGGACTAGAACCAGTGCCCCTAAAGGATGCCCGCACTGCAGGCAGAGGACTAACCCACTGCACCACAGTGCCAACCCCAAAGGCTCATTTGCATTCTCTTTGCTATGTGTTTGAAATGATGTTAGAAATCCTCTCTGCATGTCACACAGAGGCCCAGCTCCCAGCGAAGCTTATGAACACATGCTGCTTTGACCATGAGACATGAACGTGAGGCGTGGTCACCTCTCTTGGAGGGCAGTTGTTGTCGAAATGCTTTCCACAGCCTTTTAAGCAACAGTGGCCTGGTGTTTCCCTAGTTTCTGTCACCCCAGTGATGGATTTCAAATGTATACTGCCTGAGAGAATTGATTCCTCAAAACAAGCTAAGCCATCTCAGTTTCCACACCACCAACCAACCCAGAGCTCAGAGCCTCCTGTGAAAGGACCGGCAGCCACTTGTATCCATCTCCTACCACTGTCCCTCGGATCTCAAGTGACCCATTCCTGAACTCAATCGGAAAGATTCTTAGAGAAATAAAAGCAATGATATGAATATGTTTAAATTTTCAATCCAGGGGCCGGCACTGTGGCACAGCGGCACAGCGGGTTAACGCCCTGGCCTGAAGTGCCAGCATTCCATATGGCCCCTGGTTCGAGACCCAGCTGCTCCACTTCTGAACCAGCTCTCTGCTGTGGCCTGGGAAAGAAGTGGAAGACGGCCCAAGTCCTTGGGCCCCTGCACTGGCAAGGGAGACCCGGAGGAAGCTCCTGGCTCCTGGCTTCAGATCAGCACAGCTCCGGCCATTGTGGCCATCTGGAGAGTGAACCAGAGGATGGAAGACCTCTCTCTCTCTCTGATTCACTTCTCTCTCTGTGTAACTCTGACTTTCAAATAAATAAATAAATCTTTAGAAATAAATTTAAAAAATCTTTTTAAAAATTTCAATCCAAGCGAGAATTTTATAATCATAAAATTGAAATCTTCCTTCTCTCTAGTGCTATCAGAAATGATAATAAAGACTTTTGGGATTATTTTCCTTCTAAGAAGTCCCAGAAATGGTTCCCAGTCACTCCTCTAATGAGCAGTAGCTATGTGACTTTGACATACCTTGGAATCTGGCTTCTTGCGTGGTAAAGGGTTAACAGCTAAACTACATAATCTCTCCACTAATCCCTTGTAAATGTAAACTTTCGTATGTCCACCTTCTGACTCCATTCTCGGGGCCCTGTGGGTCCTGATGGAGCTGCCCGGGAGCAGGGAGGCAGGCCATGTCCTTGGGAAAGCAGACCCCACTGGCGGCCGAGGGCCTGTGTCCTAGCTCCCACCAGCCAGCATCTTCGAGTCTAACGTTCCTTGTCTGACCCTAAGGAGAGTGGTTATCTACCTCACTAGCTATCGGTGATCCTGTGTGAAAATCCCAGGCGCCCCAGTACCTCACTAGCTGTTAGTGAAATCTGGATAATACTCATTAAGCCCTCCTTGGCTTTTCGGCGATAAGCAGAGCTAATTTCAAAGTGTCGTGCCCTGGTAGCTTCAAGATTATGGCAAAACAACACCAGACCTTGCTCATTGGCTGCAAGACCTGTATGTCTTCCCGGGGTCAAGCACACTTAGGGAGCGGATACACCGGGGATTTTCCACCAAGGTTCCCCCGGCCTACCCCGTGTCCTGCACAGAGGGTGCCAAGCAGGGCCTATGGTTAATCCCTGTGTGAGGCAATCACTTTCTGCTTGTTCTGCTGCCATGTACCCTCCGCTGCAGCCAGCTGGCGGGAAATTCCTCATTACCGGGCACTGGAAGAGCCCGAGCATAAATCTGTCAGCGCGCCTAGGAAAACAACTCAACGGCGCATGCCCAGCTCCTGGCGGGTCACAGGAGGCCCCAGAGGCCACCTGAGGGAAATTCTGGGTGCCGCAGGGATCAAATCACCTGCTGCCTGCACACACATTCCGGTGGCCCATGCACCTGCAGAAAGCAACGGCCCCAAGCCCTCACCCTGCAGCCGGCAGCCGCCAGCCTCCAGCTCCAGGTCACAGCCGATGCCCTCTCGGAAGAGGAGCTCGATGCTGCGCAGGTTCTCCTGCAGCTCCTCCGCCTGACTGGGTTTCTCGTCGTCCTCCCCTGCGTCTCCAGCTCCCTGGCGTCTCGGCTGCGCCGCGGCCTTCACCCGGGGCGCTCCCAGAGCCTCGGCCACCGCCACGACCTCCCCGCGCGGGGCGGGGCCCAGCACCCCCTCGTAGGCAAAGGTCAGCAAGGCCTCCCAGCCCCCGGGGGCCACAGCGAGGCTGAAGGGGGGCCGAGGCCCTCCACTGCCCGCCCGCAGCCTCTCTCGGAAAAAGCTGCTCACCGCGGCCAGGATCACCCGGTGCGCCCCGTACACTCGCCCGCCCACCGACACCTCCTCATCTAGCAACAGCCTCTGCTCCCGCAGCCTCCGCGCCTCGGCGAAAAACTGGCTCGGATGCTCCTCGCTGCGAATGCCCTCGATCTCCGCCGCGCCTTCATCGTCCTCATCCACTTCCTCCTGCTCTTCTTCCTCCAGGGACAAGGCTGGAGAGGGGAGATTTCCTGGCCCCGGGGGCCGGGGGCCCGGCTCCTCCAGAGGGAAGCGAGGCAAAGCAGGGTCCTCATCCGGAGACGGGGGCCAGGAGGGAGAACTGTGGGCGGGCATGGGGAGCCCGAGGCCGTTCTTCTGGACTGGAGGGGAAGCGCACTCCAAGTCAGAGGGAGGATGTGCCGAGCCCCCGACGCTCATGGCCCGGATTTGCTGGGTGGCTGCAGGTGAGCAGATGCAAGAGAGAAGGGCGCCGAAACCAGGTCTCCAGCCCTTCCAAATGTCAGTCCTCCCGCCACCAACGCCCCACTACCACCCCAAGGTAACATGCCAAGGCTAGAGTAGCTGGGCTACTCAGTGCACTAGAGGGGCTCACACGGCGTAGCCAAGTGTGTGGACTCTCCAGTACCCATGCCCACACCCCTGCCTCCCTGACCCCATCCTTTTAGTCACCTTCAGGAGACACCAGCCTTTTGCTCGCTGTCTCACTTGCATGCCCTCTATGCTCGGGAACTCACTCCCACCCCGCAGCGCCCGGCCTGCTAATTATAGTCAGCACTGGCAGGATATAGGCTATGGGCACCCAGTGCCCTAGCTCAGACACCCAATCTCCTGGGCTCCATCCCAGAAATGACTGCCCCCAACCCCCTTCCACCTGTGGGTCAGACATGGGTGCTGAGTGAGGCGAATTTGGAAAGTGAGAAGGAAGTGGAGATGGAGTGGCGTGAGCCAGTCAGAAGTGTTCACCAGGGTGAGCTGGACGGGACTGGCGGACTCTGCACCTTGCAGACCAGTGGGATGCTGGGCAAGATCAGAGGAGCCTACGCTTTGGTCAGTCCTGGGCTTTGGCTGTGGAATTCCACACAAGATCGACCTGGGACCCTGGAACAAGCAATACCGATGTGAAGTGCAAAAATAGCCAGGCCCTGTCCACTGAGGGTGGACAAGGAGGGCAAGTGAGGGGGCAGGGGGCAGGGTGAAGGATCTAGGTGACTCACCCTCTCGAGGGGCTTCTCTGTCCAGAGGGGGGATTCTGGAGCCAAACCCTGTGTCCTCAGAGAAGTCTGGGGAGTTTAACCCTCCCCTTGGCCACTAGGATAAGGACCAACAGTGGACATGTGGTTCAACTCCACTGCTTCGAAACCAGAGACCTGGACAAGAGGGGCTGAGGTACACAGGTATTCTCACTGAGCGGCCAAAACCACAGCCACTCCCTTTGTCTGGGATACTTGTTCTTCATCTTGTCACTGGGGCTTGGCTGAAGCCCCTAAAATCCTGCAAACACTCTGCGGGTCAGTTCTGGGTCTCTTGGGGGAAGGATCTGAGGAGGAGGGCAGCAAGTGAGGGCCTCCCCTCCTCTCTTTGGGGGAGACAAATCAGGCCAGGTATGCCAGGGGGAGATTCAGCAGACAACTAAGGCATAATTATCCCTTATGATTTGCATGCAGGGGCACCCATAGACAGAGGGGTGGGAAGGTGGGTTAATCCACATGGTACTCTCTCTGGCTTCTGGAGTGGCCTCCATTCCCCACTGGTGGCCTGGGTACCCCAACCAAGCCAGAGTAGTGTTCCTAAGGTACACCTAGCTCCCTCAGACGGCTGTCCTGACTGATGGCAGGGGAGATGGTGACCAGCCTCTGCACCTCTTCCCCTGCTCCGGCATGTCAGACTCCTCTCCTGGCCTCCCTCTGCAGCAGCACGATGCAGCTGGCAACTGGAGCCTCCAGCAGATGGTGGGGAAACTGAGATCTGGCAGAGACATACCCTGGCCAGCCTTTACCCACCACCTGCCTACAAGGGCAGTGACGCTGAATCCACGAGGCTTTTTTTTTTTCCTGAAGATTTTATTTATTTGAAAAGCAGAGTTTTCAGAATATATGTGTATATATATATATACATATACATATATACATATATATATATATATATATATATGCCATCTACTGGTTCACTCCCCAAATGGCCACAAGTGCCAGAGCTGGTCAGGTCCAAAGCCAGGAGCTTCTTCCAGGTCGCCCACATAGGTGCAGGGGCCCAAGCACATGGACCATCTTCCTCTGCTTTCCCAGGCCATTAGCAGGGAGCTGGATCAGAAGCGGAGCGGCTGGGACTCTATGGGATGCCAGCATCACAGAGACTTTACTATGTCCCAACAGTGCCTTCCCCCACCCCTCCCATGAGTTCTATGCCAATCTTATGGTCCTGGGCCAGCATCGCCCAACTCTGGAGGTTCTGCGGGGCTTCACCATGAGACACACGCCTGTCAGCGGATTCTTGGAGGGAGGGTGTAACCTGCTGTCCTCCGTTGAAGCCCTGGGACCACCCTCCCTCCCCACAAAGGGCCTCCAGGCACATTAGTCGTCCTCCTGATCACACACACACTGGCTGCAGAACACTCATGGCATCTCAGTAGCAGCCTGCTGTCTCAGCCAGGGAACGGCACGATTTCCAGTTTCGGAGAGGAACCCCACAACCAGCTACACTTCTGAGATGATGGAGTGGAGCATCCAGGGCTGGGCCCAGCAAGGGCCCATGTGCTTCTGCCAGGTCTTGGGAGTCATAGAAATGGATCAGAGCCCAGGGCTCTCAAAAACTAGGGAGTACCGTCGGCAGTATCTCAACTGCACCACTTCCCTTGTGTTCACAGGGTGCTTTGTCTGATACTGTTACATATATATAAAAAAAAAAAAAGATTGGAAATCTAGGTGGCTGAACGTGAGCTTCATTCTACAGTTCTTGGAGGGTATCTCTGAGAAAGGGAGCAAAGGCTGGGGTGGCTCTTCCATCATCACTTTGCTGTGGTCAGCATCTGGGGCGTCATCTCTGAGGCTAGCATGAAGCATGGCACAGGTGGGCGTGGTTACGGGCTCATATGGGAATGGTTACGGGCTCAGGTGGGCATGGTTACGGGCTCAGGTGGGAATGGTTATGGGCTCAGCGCTCTCCTGGGAAGTATGAAGGAACACAGGGGACCCAGCCTGAATGAATTAGTCCCCATCCCCACCCAGGTTCCTGGCTCTTTACTCTGAGCCTCAGGCTATAATCACTGGCTTACTTCTCCACCATCTGCACCAATGGTGAAGGCTGGTGAGGCTGCTATGAATCCATGATCTCTTGGATACCCTGGTCCTTCAGGAACTGCCAAGACCATAGACCAGTTCTTTGCTTCTCTGCTCCCAGCTGGCACGTACTTCCTCATCTCACACAGCCCAGGGTCTAGAACTTGGCTATTCCATCAGGATCATCTTTGCCTTTGGCCAATGTAGTAGCCATGGCTACAGGCTTGGTAGGCTTTGCAGAGAGCCTCTCAGACCTGCTCTGGGTAATGCCTATTCTTTCTTTGTGTTCCTCTCAAGTCTGCTAACCCCGGAAGGGCTAACCTTGTAGTGACTCCAGTTTGAACAAGTCACTTAAAAAATGACATGCAGGCATCTAACCAGCCAGTACTCTGTGAACTCTGTGTTCTGCCCTTCCAGAAGCAGGAGTGCAGCTGCCAAATCTGGACCCTGAAAGTGAGCTGCGGGTGGCGGATGTAGTCACTGCGACCGTTCTGGGTGCGGCAATGGCTGCCATGAAGTAGGAGTGCAAGGCTGGCCCCCAGAGAATCCAAGTGAAGCTAAAGAGGATGAGAGGGCTGTGGTGAGAACTGGAAGGAGTTGGGAGGGGCCCATATGTTGAGGGCAGATGTAATTGCACGTGTGTTTGTGTGTGTGTGTGTGGCAGGAGGGACACGTGCTACCTGAGAAGGCCAGGCTGAATACGTGAAAGAAGCTGCTGGGGTAGACTCCAGAGACAGAGACCTAAAATGTGATTGCTTTGCTGGGAGAGATTCCCTAACCTGATCTTCAAGGGGCATGGAAAGAAGACTTACTCTGAGGATCTGATGAGACAAGTACCAGACAAGACTAGCGGGGGGACAACGCCACGTGAAAGCTGCCGACTTGACTGCTTCCAGCTGTTCAGCCAACTTTGAGATCTGCCCCTCTGGCCTGGGGACAGTCATTCTGGTGTTTGAGACAAGAAGGAAAAGGATATCCATTCGATCAGGACCTGCTTACGGAAAGACTGGTGGGAAAGGGAACTTGAGGTCTGGGAGAAGAGTGAACATGGGTGGAGAACGAGGAGGTATAGAAAAACCGCACTCATCAACTCTCCTGTCTTTCTTTTGTCCTTTATGGTATCGCAGGCCTAACCAGCCTTCCTTTTCCTGATTTTTATTAACTACATGCTGGGGCCACTCCTGCCCACAAACCCCAGTTGACAAGCCACTGGCTCCTTTGGATATCGAGGTGAGACAGTGGGAAACTGACTGAGAAACATACTAAAGGGAAGGAATGCCTAAGCATATAAACTCCCCTTGGAGCAAGACTTCAGCAGGAACCAACCTTCTCAGAAAAGAGCCCCTGACTTTTCCTTCTATGTGTCATTTGCACATTGACCTTCATCAAACCACTCACAATCCTGTGAGGCCAGGGCTGGCAAGGTTACAAAATTCCCTTATTCTTCCCAGCCTAAGTCACTGACACCACGTTCTGAAGGGATAACAATGACTGGCTGAGTGAAGGGAAGACAGAAAGTGCCCTTCCTTTCCTGTTCATTCATATAGGAAGCATTTTCTTGGAAAATATGGTCTCCCAGTGGTGTGGTCCAGAGAACAGTTGTGTGTGTGTGTCCCGTATTTTTTTTTATGATTTAGTTATTGGGGTTGGTGCTGTGGTGCTGCTGGCAAAACCACCACCTGCAGTGCCGGCATCCCATATGGGTGCTGGTTCCAGTCCCAGCTCTCTGCTGTGGCCTGAGAAAGCAGAGAAAGATGGCCCAGGTCATTGAGCCCCTGCACCCGCATGGGAGACCCGGAAGAAGCTCCTGGCTCCTGGCTTCGGTCGGCCCAGCTCCAGCCATTGTGGCTATTTGGGGAGTGAACTAGTGGATGGAAGACCTCTCTCTCTCTCTGTCTCTCTGCCTTTCAAATAAATAAATTATTTTTTAAAATAAATCTTTAAAAATAATTATTTAAAAAAAGATTCATTTATTTGAAAGGCAGTTACAGAGGCAGAGAAAAGGACAGAGAGAAAGAGATCGTCCATCCGCTGTTCACTCCCCAAATGGCTACAATGGCCAGAGCTGGGCTGGTCTAAAGCCAGGAGCCTGGAGCTTCTTCTAGGTCTCCCAGAGGGGTGCTGGGGCCCAAATACTTGGTCACTCCATTGTTGTCTTCCCAGTTGTGTTAGCAGGGAGCTGAAACAGAAGTGGAGCAGCCGGGACTGGCACCAGTGCCCATATGGGATGCCAGCATCCCAAGTGGCGGCTTTACCTGCTACGCCACAGCGCAGGCCCCATATTTTCCACATTCTTCCTCCAGCTACTGGGTCTTGGCTGGGACCGGTCTCTCTGGGGACTGCAAGGTGAGAAGGCTGTTATACCTGGAGCACATTCTCAGTCGTTTCTCTCCTTCCTCTCTCCACTAATGGTCCAACGAATGTTTTTCAGGCTACAGTGTGGCAAAAAGAACACCCCTTGACACCCTGTGGACCACACATCCCTACCTGCATTATCCGTGCCACCACTGGCAAGACCTGCCACTCATGCCATCAGTGCAGAAACTACCTGCAGCCCTGGGTTCTGCCTCCCCATGGGACTGAAGTATAAGGCGGGGGGGGGCGGGGGGAGGGTCTTCCAAAAGTTCAGTGTTACTAAAGAACTATGTATGTATGGTGCAAAATGTTCTGCACCAGGGGTACAACAGGTTAAGCTACTACTTGGTACATTGGCACTCAGTAACAGCCAGCCAGTTAAAGTCCTGGCTACTTTGCACTTCTGATCCAGCTTCCTACCAATGTGCCTGGGAGGCAGCAAATGATAGCTGAAGTACCTTGAGTTCCTGGCACTCATGTGGGAGACTTGGATGGAATTCCTGCCTCCTGGTTCCTGAATTGGGCCTGGTTCAGCCCTGGCTACTGGGGGCATTTGGGGAGTGAGCCAGCAGATGGAAGATCACTCTTTCAAATAAATCTTTTAAGTTTTGTACCATAATAAACTTATTTTTTAACTCCATTTTCTACAAACTTTTTTGAAGTTCACTGGTAAGTGATGACCTGAGCAAGTGCAATCAATAGTATTAAAAGTGGTTTACAGGCAGGTGCTCCCCACTACCTTCACCATTTCTCCCCATCACTCACACTTGTTAATTACTTGCATGTTCTTTGATTATCAAATTTGGCCACCTCCTCCACCCAGCCATGCACACACACTTCCATTTCCCCTTTTGGCACTGGTGGTATCTAAACAGCCTTGCTGCTTTGGGGTGGGGGTATTTTCCCTCCAAAAAAGGAATGTGTATCCTGTCTCATTTCCAGGATTTTGTATGATCTGAAGTGCCTGAGGGGACAGGACTGACAGGGTGTGCAGAATGGGAGCTGCCTGGCGCACCAGGGTGCCAGTGTGGCCAGAACTACAGCAGCTGCCCTGCCTCTGTGGGTTCTCTAATCACTGCCGTGTGACTGAACCAGGGGAGAGACTAGGGAGAAGCCTTATTAGCCCATTGCCTAGCATAAGCTACATCCTCAAAAACCAATGATGTCGTGAGTGGATTTGTGCGGATGAGGTAAAACCTTCCGAGATGCAGATAAAGTGTAATAGACCAGGGTGGGCACCGGAGCAGTTTGGGCGCCACTTGGGATGCCTGCATTGGAGTGCGTGATTCAAGTCCTGGCACTACTTCCAATCCAGCGTCCTACCCTCCAGAGGCAGCAGAAGATAGCTCTAGTACTTGAGCCCCTGCCACCCATATGGGAGACCCAGATGGAACTACTCACGCCTAGCTTTGTCCTGGACTGGTCCAGCCCCAGCTGTTTCGGCTGTTTGGGTAATGAAATTTGGGGAGATTTCTCTCTTTTCCTTTCAAATAAAATGAAAATAAATACATTTTTGAATTCACTAATACCTGTTAACTTCTGGGAAAGCTAAGTGGAAATATGGGTGGAATGCACTGATTTCTGTCTCTGTCCTTTCCCAAAGTGTCTGCCCTCACCCACCTGAATGCTGGAGTCTTTTGTGCCATCTTGTTTTCTGCCATTCTTGCTTTGTTTCAGCCATTGAAATCTTCCAGGTTAGTTGCTAAGATGTTTTCTTAGCAAGAGGCATTAGGTGGAAACGGGTGTGGAGAAAGGAGAAACTGTAGGCAGGCAGGACCATCCCAAGAGTACAGTTTTGTGTGTGTGTGTGTTTTTTGTTTTTTTTTTTTTTAATGTTTATTTATTTAAAAGACAGACTTACAGAGAGAGACAGCAAGATCTTCTATCCGCTGGTTCATTCCTCAAAGGCAGCAATGGCCAGGGCTGGGCCAGGCTGAAGTCAGGAGCCTGGAATCCATCCAGGTCTCCCATGTGGATGGCAGGGGCCCAAGCACTTGGGCCATATCTTCTGCTTAGCAAGAAATTCGATGGAAGTATAGCAGCTGGGACTTGAACCAGTATTCATATGGGATGCCAGCATTGCAGACAAAGGCTTAACCCACTGTACCATATCGCTGGCCTCCCAGCAGTCTAATTTTTTGAGGAAGAGGGACAAAACAGAGCTCAGCTGTCCACAACCAGAAGTCAGATGATGATTTAGGGAGATGGAGAGGACTGTGGCTGGCTGGTCTGTAAGAAATGATCCAAGCTCACAGAGCAAAACGCAAAGTCATCAAGGCAAAGTAAGGGTAGCATGTTACTCTTCTGCCTGCCCAAGTTTTCTCATCCCACAGTCCCATGGATTGTACCACACCTTACGCTTTTTTGCTGTTAGGATCCCTAAGTTCCTTCAGTGCTTCCCTCTGAACTCCTGTCTTCTATCTCTTTCTCTTTCCTTGGGACCCTCTTCTGCTGATCTCTATGAATTCTTACAGTGGCTGTGCCTGGGCAAATTGTCCCCAGTCACTGGCTTTTTGGGAAAGGCTATGAGAAGATCCAGGAGCCTCTGCAGGACTGCTGTTCACCTTCCTTGTAGGTTTCACCCTTGGTGAGTACTACCTGTTCCAGTCTCCACACCAAGTTCTTGATCACCTCCCCAAGCCCATTGCTCTCTTCTAGGACCTGACCTTAAAGCTTCTTTCCTATCCCTCAAGTCCTGAAAGGGGAAGAAAATGTCTCCTAACTCGGTTTGGGGGGGGGTGGGGGTGGGGGTGAGGGAATAGGGATAATGGGGTAAAGGGAAGCCAGTAGATGTCTCCCCAGATCTGGATCCTATGACACAGTCTGAAAACTGACTCCCACCAGCTAAATGTTTCTACGCCTCATCATCTTCAGCCATCTCATACCTCCCTTACTTGGTTGCCTGGTTAGTGTGAATACGTGCTAGCATCAGACTCAGGGATAAAAGGACCTGGCAAATTAGGAGCATACTTGGATACAAGCGTGGGCGGCACCCTGGCAGGCTGGGTACAACCTCTGGCTCTCCCACCTGGGATCCGTACTCCACCTTACTCATGTTCCTCCTCACTTGATGGGCACCATTCACCACTGTGTTCTTATCCTTCTGCTGTTGTTCTACACGTTCTACAAGAAACCTGAGGACCAGGTAGGCAAGTGGGTAAGGAGTGAGGAAGTAAGATACAGGAGGGTGACCCATACAAGAAAGCCAGGATTACCAACAGTCAATCTCTATTCCTTCTTCTACTTGACAAGTAAAGCCTTACTTCCAATCATTCTGTTCCACCTGTTCCTCTGCACAGATGTGTCCTGGGGCTCCTTGGTCCAGGAAGGTACCTATTACATGACATTCTCCTACCCAATTAACCCGACCAATGTGCAGCACCATGTTGAGATACAGGCCAGCGCCGCAGCTCAATAGGCTAATCCTCCACCTGTGGTACCGGCACCCCGGGTTCTAGTCCGGGTCAGGGCACCGGATTCTGTTCCGGTTGCCCCTCTTCCAGGCTAGCTCTCTGCTGTGGCCCGGGAGTGCAGTGGAGGATGGCCTAAGTCCTTGGGCCCTGCACCCGCATGGGAGACCAGAAGCACCTGGCTCCTGGCTTCGGATCAGCATGGTGCACCGGCTGCAGCACGCCGGCCGCAGCAGCCACTGGGGGTGTGAACCAATGGAAAAGGAAGACCTTTCTCTCTCTCTCTCTCTCTCTCACTGTCCACTCTGCCTGTCCAAAAAAGTAAATAAATAAATAAATAAATAAGAATTTCAGATACAGAGGCTGGCACTGTGGTGTAGTGGGTAAAGCCACTGCCTGATGTGCTAGCATCCACAAGGGTGCTGGCTCAAGTCCTGGCTGTTCCACTTCTGATCCAGCTCCCTGCTAATGAGCCTAGAAAAGCAGTGGAAGATGGCCCAAGTGCTTGGGCCCCTGCACCCACATGGGAGACCTGGAAGAAGCTCCTGGGTCCTGGCTTCAGATCGGCCCAGCTCTATTATGGCCGTTTGGGAAGAGAAGGAGTGGACAGAAGATCTCACTTTCTCTGTCTCTAACTCTGCCTTTCAAATAAATAAATCTTAAAAAAATTTTTCAGGTACAAAAAGAAAAATCTAAAACAAAAAGAAAAAAATTTCAGGTAAGGGAGTCTAGAGGTTGAAAACTAGTGGCTTCTGGATTAGATCTTGCAAATTAGTGCTATACAGATTCAACACCACATACAACTTTTTAAAGGTTCATTTATTTATTTGGAAGTCAGTTACACAAAGAGAGAAGGAGAAATGCAGAGAGAGACAGAGAGAGAGGTCTTCCATCTGGATGGTTCACTCCCCAGTTGGCCGCAACAGCCAGAGCTGCACTGATCTGAAGCCAGGAGCCAGGAGCTTCTTCTGGGTCTCCCATGTAGGTGCAGGGGCCCAAGGACTTGGGCCACCTTCTACTGCTTTCCCAGGCCATAGCAGAAGGCTGGACCAGAAGAAGAACAGCCAGGACTAAAACCACCAGCACTGCTGGTGGTGGCTTTACCCACTATGCCACAGTGTCAGCCCCGCAGCTCTTCCTTCTAATGTGCCTGGGAAAGCAGAAGATGGCCTAAGTGCTTGAGCCCTTGCCACATGGGAAACCTGGATGGAGTTCTAGGCTCTTGGCTTCAGCCTGGCCCAGCCTCGGCCATTGCGGTCATTTGGAGTGAACTGGCAGATGGGAGACTGATCTCTCTCTTTCTCCCTCCCTCTCTGTGTCACTCTATATTTCAAATAGACAAAGAAATGTTAAAAAAAAAAAACAAAAAAAAAGGAAAGAAAATAAGAGCTTCCTGAGAGGGCGGTGGCTCCATGGCAGGACAGAAGCGACAAGAATGAGCTCTCAACTTCCTTTTTCACACAGTGAGGTGGGGAATCCTCTTTAGCATCCTTGGTTTCTTCATAAAATTTTATCTAAAATCCCTCAGTGAGTGGAAAAGAGCTGACCACTGTTGTCAACATTATACCTTTTTTCCTTTCTGTAAGTTATAGTGCCTGGCACCAACTGGATCCCTTAACCAGCATCCAACCCTGGAATACTTTGTGGGTGCCTTCACCAAAACAGGAGTCTCATGATTTGTGAAGTGTGGTCTTGGTAAAAGAAAGGACACTAAGGCTGGGTAGAGAGAATAACAGGTCAGTGAGCTCAAGGAACCTGAATGAGGGGACCAGCACTGTGCCATAGCGGGTAAAGCTGTGGCCACTGCTTTGAGTTCCTGCTCCACTTCCGATCCAGCACTCTGCTATGGCCTGGGAAAGCAGTAGAGGATGTCCCGAGTCTTGGGCCCCTGCACCTGCATGGGAGACCCAGAGGAAGCTCCTGGTTCCTGGCTTTGGATTGGCACAGCTCCGGTCGTTGAGGCCAATTGGGGAGTGAACCAGTGGATGAAGACCTCTCTCTCTCTCTCTCTCTGCCTCTCCTCTCTGTGTAACTCTGACTTTCAAATGAATAAATAACTCTCTAATCATCATCATCATCATCATCATCATGAGAGGTCAGGCAGGATGCTTAAAGAAGGGAGGGGGCAGGCATTTGGTGCAGCAGTTAAGATGCCACCTGGGATGCCAACATCCCATATCTGAATGCCTGGGTTTGAGTCTCACCTCTGCCTCTGATTCCAGCATCTTGCTAATGTATATCCTGGGAGACAACAGGTGATGGCTTGAGTAGATGGGCCCATCATCCATGTGAGACCTGGATTAAGCTTCTGACTCCCGGCCTAGGCTTGACTATTATGGGCATCTGTGGCAGTGAACTTGCAGGTGGGAAATTCTTTCTCTGCTTTTTGAATAAAGAAATAAAAAAGGCATAGTACCCAGTCTGCATTTCTGCTTCACCCTCTTCGAAGCCTCAAGCCAGTCAAGTCTGAGACTCTTGTCACCTGGCTGAATGTTCAGAAGAGTCACTCCTTGTATAATGGGGCCCAGGGCCTCATGTAGGTCAGCCTTCCCAACTGGATCTCTTCACAGAGGTACCCGTGAAAATCTGCTTTGGAGGACTATGTAGGCCTTAACAGTTAAGAGTGAGTGGGGAAGAAGATGGGCATAGAAATGGTCAGGAGTTAGAAAGAATACAATCAGAGAGAACCCCATTTCTTCCAGTTGTCCAGCAGTGCCCGTGTCCTCAGGAAGAGGACGCTCTCTCTTCAGCTCCTCCTTCTCTATCTCCTCCCCCTCGGTAACGTGATGCCTGACGACGACCTCGTCATCTACTTCTTAAGGATGCCAAGAGGTCCCGACATGACTACCCAGACAGCAAGTTAAGGTGAATCAAGAGAGGTGGACCAGGGCCGGCACCGTGGCACAGTAGGTTAATCCTCCACCTGCGGTGCCAGCATCCCATGTGGGCACCTGTTCGAGACCTGGCTGCTCCACTTCCAATCCAGTTCTCTGCTATGGCCTGGGAAAGCAGCAGCAGATTACCCAAGTGCTTGGGCCCCTATACCCACATGAGACAGGGAAGAAGCACCTGGCTCCTGGCTTCGGATCAGCACAGCTCTGGCTGTTGTGGCCATCTGGGGAGTGAACCAACAGAAGGGACCTTTTTCTCTGTCTCTCCCTCTCACTGTCTGTAACTCTACCTCTCAAATAAATAAAATCTTAAAAAAAAAAGAGGTGACCCTGGGGCCGGCACTGTGGCACACTAGGTCTGCCTCTGGTGCTGGCATTCCATAAAGGCACCAGTTTGAGTCCCAGCTGCTCCATTTCCAATCCAGCTCTCTGCTATGGCCTGGGGAAGCAGTAGAAGATGGTCCAAGTACTTGGGCCTCTGCACCTGCATGAGAGACCTGGAAAAAGCTCCTAGCTCCTGGCTTTGGATTGGCTCAGCTCCAGCCATTACGGCCATTTGGGGAGTGAACCAGCAGATGGAAGACCTTTCTCTGTCTCTCCCTCTCTTTGTAACTCTACCTCTCAAATAAATACATCTTAAAAAACAAAAAAAAAAAAAAGGAGGTGGACCTAGGAAGAATATAAGGTCTGAGCGATATAGAAACTGGTTGTCAAAGATGGTTCAGGAACAAGTGAACCTATTTAATTAACAAGACATGAGACCGGGCCGGCGCTGTGGCTCACTTGGTTAATCCTCCACCTGCGGCACCGGCATCCCATATGGGCGCCAGTTCTAGTCCCGGTTGCTCCTCTTCCAGTCCAGCTCTCTGCTGTGGCCCGGGAGGGCAGAGGAGGATGGCCCAAGTGCTTAGGTCCCTGCACCCGCATGGGAGACCAGGAGGAAGCACCTGGCTCCTGACTTTGGATTGGCACAGCACGCCGGCCATGGCGGCCATTTGTGGGGTGAACCAACAGAAGGAAGACCTTTCTCTTTGTCTCTCTCATTGTCTATAACTCTGTCAAATAAATTAAAAAAAAAAAAGACATGTGACCAAATAGAATTGGGTACCTGGTGTGAGAGAAATGAATTTTGCTCCGAAGATTCTACCAATATGAGCAATTCTCCTGATTTTAGGGGATGAAGCAAAGCTTTGAAGATATTCTTCTAAATTCAGGTGGGAGAAATGTAGATCAAGTGATACAGTTGCAGAAAGAGATGGAGTGTGGTAGGAAGGGGAGTATGGCCAACTTTAGAGCATGGTTTGTGGCACTACCCAAATTCTATAGTATGACACATCTTACTAGTTTACACTCTGGATGTCCTCATTGAATGGGTGGGTTCAGGGAGGTTGCAAAAAGATAACATTGTTTGGTGTTATAACCCCCACCCCCATCCTTTCCCAGTAAATCAGGTTGTTTGTATGCCAAAGGAATCGATACCCAGCAGGAAGAAGAAACTAATCCTAAAACAGGTCCTATTTTAGAAGAAACAGTGAGTAGGGATGAGATGTAGGCTCTCAGAAAACTGAATGGAAAAATGAATGTGTTACTCAGAGAAGAGAAGCCATCCATCATTCCTTTGGGAGAGCAGCAGTTCCCTGGGGGAGGAGGAAGCCGTGATGTTGCATGACAAGCAAGGGCTCCCCGGGGTGAAGAAACTGTTTCTTTTTTTTCCTCTTTTCTTGGACAGCATCCTTACAGGAGCGGCCTGAGAGGACGTTCCAGTCCAAGCAGGGCAGACAGACAGTGGACAGGCCCTGCTGCTCGGTCAAGAAGCAGGGACTCTTTTCCTCCCTAAGAACCTCCAACTCCTCTCCCAGATGCAGAGAACACAAAGGAAGGTCGATGATCTAAAAATCTAAGGACCAGAAAATGACCTCTGCATTTACAAAGCTATATGTCCTCCTCCCACCTCAGAGGTCTTCACAGTTGCTCCTTTCCTCAGCCCCAAGGAAAGGTGGGCAGGGAGGCTGCCTGACTCTTCTCTCGTCTTCACAAGGCTAACTACGCCTCCTAGTCCCATGAGTCCAATGCAAGGGCTAGCCCAACGACTGGACAGGGGAGTGAACAGGCTCCATTCCTCACTGCCTTCTGTACCGGGGTCTATCAGTGGTTCCTCCATCAGCTCTAAACCACCCAGCTGCACATGCTGCTCAGGGGCCTATACTCCCCAGCTGCCTTCATTTGTGGGAATCAGCAGGATACCCTGACCCTATACTGCCATTAAGAAGAGACTGAGCCAAGAGGACTCCACAATCTAGGACCTAAGGAGCCATGATTTTTGTCTCTCATCTACAATCTTGGGGACAATCCTTGGAAGCCTCAGGCCAAAGCCTTAAGCTTCTTAAGAACTCCATACAAAGCAATGCAACTAGGACCACACTGCCAAAGAAGAACCTTTTGCCAAGATCCAGTCTAACTCATATTAAAAATTTACAATACCACAGGGCTGGCATTATGGCTTAGCAAGTTAAGCTGCCACCGCCTGCAGTGTCAGCATGTCATATGGCCCCAACTGCTCCACTTCTGATCCAGCTCTCTGCTAAAGCCTGGGAAAGCAGAGAAGACAGCCCAAGTGCTAGGCCCCTACACTCACATGGGAGACTTGGAAGAAGCTCTTGGCACCTGGCTCTGGCTTGACCAACTATGGCAATTACCGCCATTTGGGGAAATGAACCAGCAGATGGAAGACCTCTCTCTGTCTCTCCCTCTCTTTGTAACTGTGTCTTTCAAATAAATAAAATAAGTCTTTAAAAAAATTTACAATACCTAAGGCTAATGTATAGAACATACTTCCTGCCCACTTATAAAATTAATTCTTTGGGGCTGGCACTGTGGTGTAGTGGGTAAAGCCACCGCCTGCAGTGCTGGCATCCTATATGGGTACGGTTCGAGCCCCGGCTGCTCCACTTCCAATCCAGCTCTCTGCTATGACTGGGAAAGCAGTGGAGGATGGCCCAAGTCCTTTAGCCCCTGTACCTACATGGGAGACCCAGAAGAAGCTCCTGGCTCCTAGCTTCAGATCAGTGCAGCTCTGGCCATTGCAACCAACTGAGGAGTGAACCACCAGATGGAAGGCCCCCTTCTCTCTCTCTCTCTCCTTCTGCCTCTCTGTAACTCTGCCTTTCAAATAAAATAAATATTAAAAAAAAAAAAAGTGGAAACTTGGGAAAAAGAGGCCAATACTGCTAGAGCAGAGTGTACAAGAAGTTGAGGAGCTGGAAATGAGACCCAAGTGGTAAGGGAATAGGGCGGCAGATCATGGAGGGTCTTGGAGTCCTTTAAAACAACTCTGGTTTTTTCCTATTATACAGAAAAAATGGGAGAGGTCAGAGTAGAAGAATGACATGATATAGCTCCCATGTTAACACCAGTCCCTGTGGCTGCTGTGTTGAGAACTGACTGTAAGCAGGCAATGGCAGATGCTGACCAGCTACTGCAATAATCCTGAAGACAAGTAATTCTGACTGGGCCTAGGAGGGGAGTCAAAGTGAGGAGAAACAGGATTCTGGGTATATTTGAAGAAAACGTTCAGGATATTTGATGAACTGGAGATGAAAGAAAAGTGTTGAAATCAACACTGAAATGCTCTGACATGAACTAGAAAGAGGTTATTAGGCCGGCGCCGCGGCTCACTAGGCTAATCCTCCGCCTAGCGGCGCCGGCACACCGGGTTCTAGTCCCGGTCGGGGCGCCGGATTCTGTCCCGGTTGCCCCTCTTCCAGGCCAGCCCTCTGCTGTGGCCAGGGAGTGCAGTGGAGGATGGCCCAGGTGCTTGGGCCCTGCACCCCATGGGAGACCAGGAAAAGCACCTGGCTCCTGGCTCCTGCCATCGGATCAGCGCGGTGCGCCGGCTGCAGCGCGCCGGCCGTGGCAGCCATTGGAGGGTGAACCAACGGCAAAGGAAGACCTTTCTCTCTGTCTCTCTCTCTCACTGTCCACTCTGCCTGTCAAAAAAAAAAAAAAAAAAAAAAAAAAAAAAAAAAGAAAGAGGTTATTAACTAAGAAAGACTGCAGGAGTAAGCTAGAAAAAAGTTCTTTTTGATGTCAAATTTGAGGTAACTACTGAGCGTCCAAGTGGAGACACCAAGGGGCAGCTGGATATTCAGGACAGAAACAAACTGAAGCTGTTAAAAACAAACCAAACAACAACAACAACAAAAAAAAAAAACACCACACACAAAAACCTAGGAGTCACCCATATCAACATGATTTTCACACTGTAAGATTACGGAATCACTGTGGTGTCTATGTAAATAGAGTAGTGTGAGGACTAGATTGTGACAATGAGAAACTAGCAAAGGAGACTCAGAACAGTGCAAAAGCTAAGAGGCAGAGGAGAGAATATGTTCTAAACCAAGGAAGAAAAATGCTTCAAAGAGGAACCATCAAATCCTGCTGAAAGCCTCTTTAAGGTAAGGCAGAGTACACCGCTGGACTTGGCGACGTGCAAGTCATTACTGATGTAGTAAGAACAGTTTTGGTGGAGTAAATTTAATAAAGAATTGAAGACAACTCCTTTTAAGTTTTGCTGTGAAGTAGAGCAGAAAAGCGTGCAGTTGGAAACAGAAATAGAGTCATAAGGGCATTATTTGTAAATAAAATAGTAGCACAGTTGTGGCTGATGAGATTTACAAGAGAAAGCAAAACAGTGACTCTACAGAAAAGGAAAAATTGTTGAGTCATACCCTTAAAGGTAAGTGGGTAAGATCTACTGCACTAGAATGTGGGCAGGAGCGTGAAGCATCAGCAAGGTTTCTCAATCTTAACACACTTAGACATTTTAGCCCATAAATTCTTCATTGTGGGGTTTTCATGGATATTCTATAACAACCCTGGCTTCTGTCTAGTAGCACCCTCACCCTTTTTGTGAAAACCAACATCCTCTGAGGAACAAAATCATAGTATATGGGCACAGGTGCAGTAATGAGAACTCGAAATGTGTTGCTTTTATTTTCCTACTGAAACAAAGAACAAAGTGTCTTAGCTTTTTGTTATCATAATTAAAATATCTGAGAGGCTACCTATAAAAGTTCATTTTAGCTAATGGTTTTGTAGGCTCACACTCCAAGATCAGGTACCCCACCAATCCAGGATCTAAGGGTGACAGGTGGCAGGATTCAGAGGGATCACCTGGTGAGCTAAGAGTACCGTGAGGAAGCATGTTTGTCCATGTGGTCTCTCCTTTATAAAGCCCTCAGGATGCCATCATGGGACTTCACCCTGGCAACCAACTCTAATCTAATGACATCACAAAGATTCTGCCTTCAGACATCATAAACAGATTAAGCTTCCACCCCTGGAGCACAAATAGCCCAAGATTTGAGGTTTAAACATTCGAGTGAGTTAAAGAACAAACTCATGTTCAAACTACAGCACAAGAATATGTGTGAGCAGATGCTGGAGACTTGAAGAGTCTGAGGATATGAAACAGTTATCAGAGAAGGAAAGTGGAAGGAGTAGGAAGATGGAATATTGCTGAGCAGCATCAAGGACCCATTTTGGTTTCACGATGATGAACTGCAGACCAGTCTACAAGGCTGCTTTCTGCTAGCCCTTTCAGTTTCATAGGTATAGATACAGGGTAATGAGTACCACAAAAACAAAGGAGGCGAACAGAGAGAAAGTATATGCAACAAAGTGCTTATTATTGGTATTCAGCTCAGAAAGGAAGTAAAGGGGCCGGTGCTGTGGCGTAGCAGGTAAGGCCACTGCCTGCAGTGCCAGCATCCCACATGGATGCCGGTTCGAGTCCCGGCTGCTCCATTTCCGGAAAGCAGTAGAAGATGGCCCAAGTCCTTGGGCACCTGCACCCATGTGGGAAACCCGGAAGAAGCTCCTGGCTCTTGGCTTCAGATCAGCACAACTCCAGCTATTGTTGCCATTTGGGAAATAACCATCCGATGGAAGACCTCTCCCTCTCTCTGCCTCTCCTTCTCTCTCTGTGAAACTCAAGTAAATAAATTTTTAAAAAAATAAAATGTAAGACCATTATGAACCTATAAATGACTGTAAGAAGATAGTGTTCAAGTCCTGGCTGTTCCACTTCCAATCCAGCTCCCTGCTATGGCCTGGGAAAGCAGCAGAAGACGGCCCAAGTCCTTGGGCTCCTGAACCCACGTGGGAGACCTGGAAGAAGCTCCTTGCTCCTGGCTTCAGATCAACTCAGCTCTGGCCACTGCAGCCATTTGTGGACTGAACCAGTAGATGGAGGGCCTCTCTCTTTGCCTCTCTGTTAACTCTGTCTTTCAAATAAATAAATAAATCTTTTAAAAAATAAATTAAAAAACAAAGTGAAGTCAGTGGGAAGGAAGACCAAAGGTAGTTAGGTTCTGGTGAAGGAATAAATTACTGGACTCAGCATACTACAGGGAATGAAATGGAAAAGGCGGGAGGTAATGGTGGGAGAGAGGGAGGTTTGAGACTGAGATATGGAGGAGTTAGAGGTCTAGAATATGGCCACAGAGATGAGTGGCTGAAGCAGATGACAGAAGGATGACCTACATGGATACTGAAATCATTAAGACTTCTAAGAATGATGTTGGTGTGGTACAGGAGCAGGGATAAGGGAGAATGGCTGGAAATAGTGTGAGGGAAAATGGCAATGTCTGCACTTCTGGGCCCCACAGTACAATGGGTCTGGAAGAGAAAAACCATCAAATCAGGAGTGACAGAAGCAGAGGTCTCACAAGAAACCAGGTCTCAGAGGAAGAATGTGAAACAAGGGGCCAGCGCTGTGGTGCAGCGGGTCAACGCCCTGGCCTGAAGCGCTGGCATCCCATATGGGTGCTGGTTCTAGTCCTGGCTGCTCAACTTCCCATCCAGCTTTCTGCTATGGCCTGAGAAAGCAGTAGAAGGTGGCCCAAGCCCTTGGGCCCCTGCACCTGTGTGAGAGACTCGGAAGCTCCTCGCTCATGGCTTCGGATCGGCACCATTGAGGCCAACTGGGGAGTGAACCATCGGATGGAAGACCTCTCTTTCTGTCTCTCCTCTCTCTGTGTAACTCTTTCAAATAAATAAGTAAGTCTTTAAAAAAAAAAAAGAATGTGAAACAAACATTCAGGGAAGAGGTTAAAGATGCAGGGCACTTCGCAAGTGACTGGCTATTAGCTCCACAGGAACACAGTAGAAAAGATTTAGGCATTGGAAGGATTCAGATGGAGACAAAAAAGGGGGTACAAACACAAATGGTTCTTAAGCATGTAAAAGATGAGGTAACAGGGCCAGCGCCATGGCGCAGCAAGTAAGGCTGCCGCCTGCAGTGCTGGCATCGCAGATGGGCACTGGTTTGAGTCCTGGCTGCTCCACTTCCGATCCAGCTCTCTGCTATGGCCTTAGAAAGCAGCAGAAGGTGGCCCAAGTCCTCCAAGTCCTTGGACCCCTGTGTCTGCGTGGGAGACCTGGAAGAAGCTCCAGGCTCCTGGCTCCAGCTGTTGCAGCCACCGGGGAGTGAACCAGTGGATAGAAGACCTTTATCTCTCTCTCTCTCTCTCTCTCTGCCTCTGCTTCTCTGTAACTCTGCCTTTCAAATAAATAAATAAATCTTTTTTTTAAAAGAGATGAGGTGACTCGGCAGTTCAAGACCTGTTGTGATGATAATCATGCAAACATAATGGGATGATTACTCTGGTGGCTGCGGCAGGAGGGAAGCCTGCCGATGGAGGCACATGTGACGTGCGTGGGAGGAAGTGCATGGACAAGGGCGGTTTTACTCAAGCTGTAATCAGACCTATCTCCAGGCTATCCTGAAGAAAGTCCTGAGTGTCTACATCACATAATTCAAATGAGATAATGACTATAAAGCAGACAGGACTGGGTCTGATACTAAAACAACATTGCTAGAGAGCCGTTAGGACAGCACCCATGACTTCTCCCCGTTTTTGGCTCCTGGGCAGAGGCCTCCAGAGGCTACCTGCACAGTCAGTCACAGTGCTGTTCTGACCCCGGCTCCTTATCTGTTCACTCCATCAACAAGACTGTACCCTGTTCTGAGGAACACAATCTAATTATCAACATATAAAATCAAAAATTCTTTATTTTTGAGCCATCCTAAGGTTCCACAGGGGCTCCCAACCGTGCTTGCAGGCCCCAGCTTTGCCAGGGGGACTGGATTCCATAGCCTTGCCATGACTCCCAAGTCAGGAAGGAGAGTCAGGCCCAGGTTCCTGTGGGCTCCCCTTAGGAAACTATCTACTCTGATCCTGTTCATCTTGCTAGTCCCTCCAGGTCACTTCTACTTCATCTGTCCGATACCTGTGGAAAAAGAGGAAAAATCTGATGGAGGTCTACCCCTTACCACCTTCCATTTTTCTCTGTCTCCCCATCAGGAATGGACTCTCTCCTGTGCTGACTCTGGCCTACCTCCCAAACAAGCCTGTCTATTCCCCACAAAGAGGGAATCACTCACCTCTGTGTAATCCCAGAATCACGGAGTGGGGTTCTGTGTCCGGCCTGGAACATCTCCCAGCCAGCCTGGGCTATCATGGCTCCATTATCAATGCAGAATCTGGGACGCAAGAGACATGAGATTTAGGATCTAGGGGCATAAAATCACAGTAACAGAACAAGAAAAGGTCTCTACCTCTCATCTGTGGCAAAAAGCTTAGCTCCACGTTCCTGGCACATTATCTCCATCATCTCCTGTAGCCTCACGTTACCTATAAAGAGGCAGGAGACAGGGTTAGCTTAGTTTCAGGTATCTCTCCCTGACCCAGCTGCACATCTTAAGTGCACTTAGGACAATGAAGTAGAGGACTAGAGGCAAGAATGGGGAGGCACAGGGCAAGAGAGCAAACTAATAATTTTCCAAATCCCTGGCCATTTAGAGTAATGGGACTAAGACTCACAATGCCAAGAAAAGGAAAGAGCAACACCATTCAATGATACGTACACCCCACACCTCCCACAATGAGGGCCTCCTGGGAGCCACAGTGCGCCATAGCTCGCTCCGTGATCTCTACCAGCATTGCAAACACGGTTTCCTGTGGGGGACAGACAAGGAGCAAATATCAGGGACATCCCAGCTTAGTTCTGCTCTATTGTATAAAACCTCCCCCAGCCCAAACTTTCTGCACCAGCCTGTACTCCATTACCTGCAAGGAGAAACACAGATCCTCGGGAGTACACTCGCCTGTGGCCAGCATCCGCTGGGCTGCATCCTGCAAATGAAGGAGAAAAAGGAACAATGTAACAGTGATGTGGAGATTACATGAGAGCAAAAGTTACAGCCAAGAGAATTAGCATCTTTCACCACAATTCACACTGCGAGCAAATCCTATACCACACCCTGCCCTTCTCTGGTACCAAGAACTGGTAGCACTCCAGATTCTAGAATTACTTCTTGAACGCGTGCTCTTGCATACCCCACCCCTTATGCATCTTGCTTAATTTTTCTCATAGCACTTTTCCCTCCTGATGTACTCTAGGTTATTTTCCCCCTCTTGTTTCTTGTCTATCTCCCTCATTAGAATCTAAGCTCCACGTAGGCAGGAATTTCTGTTTTGCTCCCTGCTGTATCCTTGCTTTCTAGAACAGTGCCTGGCACAGAGAAGATGGCCAATAACTGTTGTGAGTTTATTCAGCACCTGATATAGGTCAGGACTATGCTATATATAAGACATAAAACAGAAAGTAAAACAGATAAGCTTCATTAAAAAAAAACACAGAAATGCCCCCATCTTACCTCTCACACTCACCTCAATAAAAGACAGGATCCCTGAGAATGAGACGTCCATCCCCTTTACAGTGTAGGGCAGCTCGACCAGTTTCTTGCCTCTATATGGGGATAAGTAAGGGCACAGAGCCTACAGTCAGCTGGCGCTCACCCTGCAAAGCCTTTCCCGAATCTCGCTAATGTACATGTAGAGCAAGCCCTGAAGCCCTAGCAGCCAGCCTCCACCTTGCACTCCCTTACCTCTTTGCCATCTGTTCAATGTTGTAGCCAGGACTGGGGTCATTGGAAATCTACCAAAAAAAAAAAAAAAAGACTGGAAGAGGATGGAGTCAGGCACGTGGGAAGACGAAGCTATTTACTTCCTCCTTCACTTCCATAGCTCCCCAGGAATCCACCCACATCTAGATTCCCTGCTGCCCCATGGGCTTACCTTGAGCACTCGGGCAAAACGATCCAGACAGTTACCCACAGCAATATCGATAGTCTCCCCAAAGATGCGGTACCGACGCTCTGAGTATGCAATCACCTAGAGGTGATGAGGATCTCCATGAAACCTCAGGGCTGTAAAGAGGAGTACTTGGCTTTGGGGAAGAACGTAGCAGAGGGTCAACACAGCCACCAGAGCTTCAAAGACAACATGGAAAAAACAGCTTCCCCAGACCCTTAAGGGGTGATTTTTAAAAACATAGCTCTTATCTAAGAAGCCCACATACCCTGAGGATTTCCAGAGTAGATTCCTAATCTATAGAAGATAGATTGGTCAGGGCAGAAGCAAGCTATAACTTCCCGTGTCTCTCCTTTTTTTTTTTTTTTTGACAGGCAGAGTGGACAGTGAGAGAGAGAGACAGAGAGAAAGGTCTTCCTTTTTGCCGTTGGTTCACCCTCCAATGGCCGCCGCTGCAGCCGGCGCACCGCGCTGATCCTGGCAGGAGCCAGGAGCCAGGTGCTTTTCCTGGTCTCCCATGGGGTGCAGGGCCCAAGCACCTGGGCCATCCTCCACTGCACTCCCTGGCCATAGCAGAGAGCTGGCCTGGAAGAGGGGCAACCGGGACAGAATCCGGCGCCCCAACCGGGACTAGAACCCGGTGTGCCGGCGCCGCAAGGTGGAGGATTAGCCTATTGAGCCACGGCGCCGGCTTTTTTTTTTTTTTTTGACAGGCAGAGTGGACAGTGAGAGAGAGAGACAGAGAGAAAGGTCTTCCTTTGCCATTGGTTCACCCTCCAATGACCACCGCGGCCGGCGCACCACGCTGATCCGCTGACAGGAGCCAGGTGCTTCTCCTGGTCTCCCATGGGGTGCAGGGCCCAAGCACTTGGGTCATCCTCCACTGCACTCCCTGGCCACAGCAGAGAGCTGGCCTGGAAGAGGGGCAACCGGGAAAGAATCCGGCGCCCCGACCGGGACTAGAACCCGGTGAGCCGGTGCCGCAAGGCGGAGGATTAGCCTAGTGAGCTGCGGCGCCGGCCGCAAGCTATAATTTCAAATACATTTCTCCGCTTCACAGGTTGGACACATTCCTTAGACGCCACCCTGCCGGTGTAGATTAGGAACAGGTATCTTGCTTGGAGACAGGAAGCAAGAATCATTCTAGATTCCTACCACGGTAGTGGCATTTGGAAAGAAAGTCATTTTGATGAAACAGAAAACCTTATGTGGGGTCAGACCAATGGACCACCCAACCCAGCAATGGCAGTCTCCTGAGGCCAGTTCTTCATGTGTCCAACTTCCACACAGCAAATACCCAGCACCTACGGTCTCATGCTGCAGGCTTCCCAGGGACCAGAGAGTTCCTTTCCCCTCCCAGTGCCACTAGGGATTTTCTTCCTTTCTGATATACTTCTTTGCTGGCAAAAAAACCTTTTTTCTATTAGTTATTCCTTACCACCCAATCATCATCTTTGCTTTTAACATCTAAGAAAGATTCGAAAGGGAAGAGGAAGAGGAACCCTTACCACTTCTCTTCATGAACTCCTACAGTGTCTATTGCTGCTTTCCACAACCCAAGTCCCTAAACTTGTATGTCATCCTTCAGGCTTCAACTACTTGCCCTCTACGCACTCATGTTCCCACATGGTCACCACAGGAAGGTGTGCCTCACAGTAACCACTTCACAAAACAGTTTCAGAACACAACCCTTTCATAAGCTGGGGACAATGCTGAGCTATTTCTAATAACCCTATTAGGTGTTCCGTGGGAAAGAAATCCAATCCCAACCTTAAAAGGTCATGTAAAGTATCCCAAGCAATTTTAGCTACACCTATACATGTAAAATTCTTTTTAACATTTATAAAGTTGCTTCTTAAAGTTACTTACATTTTGTAGTGTTAAAATAGCAAAGTCTACATTTACCTTCATTACAAAATGTCTAGTTATCTTAAAAAAATAAATAAATAAATTGGTAGTGCCCCTTAGTTTTAATTGCTAAAATGTACAGAAAAAAAAGCTTCAAAATAATATAAGCTTAAATCCTTATCATTGTTTTCTAAATTGGAAATTCCTAATCTTTTTTGTATAATCAAATATATAAAAGTCACCTAAAGTTTTAATAACCTGTCGAAATCTGCTATTACGAACTCTGTTGTGAGTTTTCTGGTGAAGAGCTAGGTTCAGTTCTGTTTCACAGGCAGTCCCCACAACTCAGGTAAGCCACAGAAGTCACTGGTTCACTGCCCACAAAGTAGGATGAAATAGGTGGAGTACTCAAAATACCTGTGTGTTTCCCCCGCTGACATACAGCACAGTTGGGCTGGTGGCTCCAGTGATGAGACGGCCCATCTCAATGTGGCCTATACAGTGGTTCACGCCTAGCAATGGCTTATTCCACAGCTGGGCCACGGTACGAGCCACGACAGCCACAGAAACTAGTGGAGCACCCATGCCAGGACCTAGGGGACAGAAATGGTAGTCAGAATGCTGGATTGGAAAAAAACAGGTGAGGAACTAGGGAATGTCAAAGCGGGAGAGGGCTTGTGGTGGTGACAGAGGCAAGGCAGAGGCCATTTTGACCTACCCAGGCTCCACATTCCTCCAACACTGACCCCTCCCCCAGTCATACCCTTGGTGTAGGCAATGCAGTCAATATCCTGGGAGGTTAATCCAGCCTCGCTCAGCGCCTCCTGCAGCAGATCTAGGATAACAGCTCGGTGGTGCCTGGCAGTGTCACCTGGAAGGAATCCTAGAAAATGGGAACAGGCCAGGGGTCATAAGGGTTTTCTGCAGCAAAGACAAGTAGAATTTTAAAACTATGACAGTGAAGCCTCCTGAGTTTCAGTAATGCAGGAAGACTCCTTCCATTCTCCTCAAGCACCCTGTCTTCCAGGTTTTCAGACACATTCTAACCTCTACGTAAGCTGTTCAGGTATCAGAAGTGCCTTTCTTCCTACTCAATTCCTACTCAGCATTAAGACCCAAGTGAGGGGCCGGCACTGTGGCGTAGTAGGTTAAGCGTCCACCTGCAGTGCCGGCATCCCATATGGGCACCAGTTCGAGTCCCCGCTGCACCACTTCCCATCCAGCTCCCTGCTGATGAAAGCAGTAGAAGATGGCCCAAATGCTTGGGCCCCTGAACCCATGTGGGAGACCCAAAAGAAGCTCCTGACTCCTGCCTTCAGATTGGTCCAGCTCTGGTCATTGTGGCCATTTGGGAAATGAGCCAGCAGATGGGAGACACCTCTCTCTCTCTCTCTCTCTCTCTCTCTCTGCCTATAACTCTAAAATTAAAAAAAAAAAATCTTTGAAAAAAAAAACAAACTCAACCGATACCTACCTCATGCAGAATCCTACACATAATCACATCACTGTATCTTACACCTAACAATTACAGCATAGCATTAA